TGTCTGAAGGGTCTAGGGATGAGTAGTCCATAACAGCCCTGGGACTGAGCTGTTAAGGAGATGGCGTGGTGCAAATGTCCTCTGTATTTAGAGAGATACAAAGGAGCAGGACAAGGAATTCCCATTTGTGCCATGCTGGATTTGGCCACTTGTGGTTTCTGGGGAAAGGTCCCTTGGTGCTGAGCTGGCTCTGCATCCAGAGCCCCCTGACCTCTGCAGACCCTGTTGGGGTAGTTGAGCCCAGCTCTGACCCAGGGAAACTTTTTAATGGCTCTTAATCAGACCTGCAGGGAGAAGTGCTGGGAGCCTTTGTTCTTCCCCTCTGCTTATCAGTTGATAAAGATAAGGCAAAGCAAAACAATGTTTGAGGACTGAGTAATTTTAGACTTAAGAAAATCAGGTGTCCTATTTTCCCAGTGGGAGGGCAGTTTTTTCAAACAGGCCGTTCCGAGGCTCTGGAGTTTCGCTTTGGACTGTATGAAAACTGCTCCACAGGGAGGAAAAAGAGCTGGGATAAGAATTGTATGAAAAGATGCTGTCCCTGGTGTCTGCAAGGTGAAAGGGGGCTGATGTGTGAGTAGTGGGACAAAGTTCTGATACCTCCCAAGGTGGTGAGTGGAGGCCCCTGGCTCCTGACTCCCATGGCAGCTGTTCGTGCTCCGCTGTTCTCCACAGCTTTGGAGACCCTCAGGAGGGTTTCCCTGTTTCTGAGGTCAGCTCAATCCTACAGCCTGTGTCTCCAGTTGCAAAGACCACGTATCCTTTGCAAGTCTTGGTCTGGGCTGGCTGTTCCTGCTGGTCCTGCTGCCAAACAAGCAGCATCTCCACGCAGCACAGTATCCGTCAGGGATGCAGAGGGCTCCTCAGGGATGTGGTGGTGGGTGTTGCTGGACAGGGCAGTTGGTGAGGTGGGCACCTGGGTTTAGTTTGTGTAGTCACCACAAGCAGAGGCTTCACAGGGGTGAGGACACTTCCACCCCTCTTCCGTGGGTGCTTCATGAACAACTCCAGGCTGTTTCCAGGTGCATTGAAGATCAAACCCCAACCACTGCACCTGTGCTCACTGACAGTTCCTGTGTTTCTCTTCCTACCTCCCAATGATTCAGTCTGTTGTAAAGGTCCTTCCATTGCTCTGCTGTGGCACTCACCACTCTGGAGAGTCATTTAGGACCGTAATAGTGGAGTCCTCCCTGCAGTGTCTGACCAGGAGCAGCTCTAAGTGGTGTGACATGGGAGTGCAGTGCTTTGATTTTGTTACATCTCTTCCCAGGAGGATGATTCCAAGAACGAAGAATTTCAAAAGCAAGGAGGTGAAGTGGAAAGAAAACTCAATTGGAGAACTGGTGTGCAGAGGGTGTTCAGGACGGGAAGGGAGGTGTGCAGACAAGGTGGGTATGTTGTCATCCAGGAGGGCAAATGGTCTTCATAGGTCATAGTAAATCATTTATGGGTCATATTTAACTGCCATCTCCTCTGTAAAAGCTTAACAGAGAGACCAGCCTGATAACAAAGGCACGCCATCCTCCAACCTCCGCCTCTGCCAGTCTCTCATTGAGGATTAGCCCAGGATGGTTCCTGAAATCTTCCTTCCCTGAAATGTTACCTGCTCACCAAGGTCCTCCACACAGCTGTGCCTCTGCTATCTGTCCCTGCAGGTGACCTACTCAGCTGTGTGAGCAGCAAGAGGCATTTGGTTGTGTGCCTGCCCTGTAAAACCAGGCATCTGCATCCTGGCACAGCTCCCGGCTACTGGGATAAATCCTGGTCTGGAAAACGAATGAAATTATTATGATGTGACTTCCCAATCCATCTCCTGTTGTGTCTGGAGCCCTGCTGGAGCAGCCAGCCCCAGGTCTATACCCCCAGGAGGGACGTCTCAGCCCCCAGAATGAGCCCAGCTGGGGACGAGTCTGGGCAAGACACAACCTGCTCTGGGATTGGCTTTGCCTGTGGATCAACAACAGCATTTTTAAGGCTGATCCACCTGGGATGAAATGAAGCCTTCCCACCCCGACCCATCTCCCCTGGGCAGGGCAGCTCTGGCAGCTCTGGCAGGAGGGAGCTTAGTCCCTATTGCAGCACTGATCCCACTGGAGATAGAGCTGGGGTGGGGGCTGCCTGTCTGGGGTGGTCAGGAGTTGAGAGACCCCTGGGAATGCTGTTTGGATGGTCTTCTCGGAGGCCTGGGAGTGGGTTTCCAGCTGCAGAGGGGCAGGTAGGTCTGGGGGCAGTCCTGCCCGGGATCCAGGGCTCAGGTCCAAGTGCCAGGCACAGCTGTGTGGGTGGCTGTGGTGGAGAACTGGTTGAACTGGTCTCCTTGCCTGTTGCTTCTTGCAAGGTCTGGGTTAACCACCATGCTCTGCCCTGGCACAGCTCGAGCTGGTCTGAACAAAACCCACTGAGGATCTGGAAGTGACCTGGGCTGAATCCAGCAGTGCCTGTCACAAGTGTCTCCCTGAGGATTCCTGCAGTGACATCCCCTTCACCTGTGCAGGTCGTGGTGGCCATGGCAGTGTGGGGGAGCCTGGGCTGGCAGCAACAGAGCACTCCTTGAGTGCACAGGGGTTGGGCTGCAGCACAAACTTCTGGGCTGGCAAGACCTGTCATCCTGGAGCCATCCTTGGCTCTTCCCATGGCTCCCCCTGCCATTCTTGTTTCCAGAGGCTGGGATGGTGACAGACCCCTCGGGGCTTTGCTGGGGGCTGGGTGAGCCCTGCTCTTCCGAGGGTGAGCAGGCAGCAAAGAGCTGCCCCCCTGCATGGATTCTGCCTCTTCTCCTCCCAGTGTCTGGCTGAGCAAGCGGGAGGGAGGTCCCTTCACCTCGGCTGGATGCTCGGCACTGCTCCTGGAGCAGGGCTCAGGACCAGGCAGGATCTGGCCTGGCTCTCTGGCTTGTGTCTCACACCATCTGCACCCTTACAGGTGCTCCCCTGCCAAGCACTGCTCTCCTCCCATTAGCCCAGAGATTATCCCTGGTTTTGTCTGTCCCGTCTGTGTGTGGCACAGAGGCTGCACTGCCTGCCAGAGCGTGTGCCTGTGTGTGCACAGGGCTGAGATCAGAGACTGCTGGCTTTGGAACACTCTGTCTTTCCGAGGGATCCTTGCCAGGCAGGGACTTGGCTGGGGGAAGGATCACACCTCTGTCTTGTTCAACACAGGAGAGGAAGGTGCTGTCTCAGAGCTTTGCAGGTGAGGAGCCCCAGCCCTCAGCTCCAGGTTGCGGGTGATGGATGGCTTGGGAAGCAGGTTGTCCAGGGTGGTGTGTTGGTACGTGCCTGGTTTGCTGTTTGTGTTCATTCTTAGAACTTCCTCCACGTGTGAACACACTGTTTTCCAGGGTATGACAGGCAGATTACAGGCAGTGGATCTTGTTCAATTTAGTTTCCTCCTGGCCCATGCAAAGAGCAGCCCCACACAGAAGGGATTGTCCCATGCTCCTGTTTTGTCTGGGTACAAACAGAGGTCTACTTGGCCTCAAATGCTCTCCACTCTCATCCCTGTCAAAACTTCAGCTTACTTAAAGCCTTTGAATGCCAGTGCAGCAGGATCTGGCCCTGTGGGCTACAGGTGATGTGCTGGGCTGGTTCCTCCTCCTGGGGCCCTCCAGCAGCTCCAGTCCAAGGGCATCACTGCTGTCCTTGGTCAGTGGGATGTCAATGGCAAAGGGGTGATCTCTCAGCAACCACTTTCCATCCTGTCTGTGTCTTTCCCTCTCTCCTGAGGTGAGCATGATTTGTTTTGTGTCAACTTAAAGAGGACAAAGAAGTCACCCAGGAGGGGATGACGGACCCCAGGCCTTTGTCTCTGGTCCTGGGTTGTCCTTGGGCCACGTGGAATGGGGAAGAACAGCCACGAATCTGTGCTGGCATCACATGCTGTGACCTCCATCTGCTCCTGTCCTCTTCCTCCTCCATCCTCTGCCCTCTCTCTCTGTTCCTTCCCGGGTTAAGGATCCCCTGTTGCTGTGGGATCTGAGCCGGATCAGCCTGAAACACAGGGTTCCTGGTTTGTGGGGAGCTTTGAGCTTGGCTTTGTCTGAAACCAACATATAGCCAGTCCTTGCTGTGGCTTAGGAGAGCCGTGGGGCTGGGCAGCCCCGCCAGCAGCACTGCCTGGATGGGCATCCCCAGGAGCCACAGAGGTGCCAGGGTGTTGTTGGGCTGTACTGGGAACCAGATGGGACTCTGAACCTCTGTTCCACAAGGGAAAGAGCTGCCCAGAGGCAAAGCCTGCTCGAAGATCTTGCCTAGACAAGGTGTCTAGGCAGAGCCTCAGACCCAGATTTTGGGGCTTTGGTACCCAAGTTTGTCCCAGAGCCTCAGTCCCCCTGGCTGAGGCTCCTGTGATGCTGCACTGGAGCTGCTGATCTTCCCTCTGCCATTAGCCTTCCTTGTTTTCCTGGGAGCCAGGGCCACCTTGTGCTAAACCTGGGCCAAAAGTTTGCTGAACTGCAAAATAACATCAAGTCCTGCAGATTGGTGGTTCCCAAACTGCTGCTGCCACCTTGGAAAACTCTTGGTTGGCTTTGTAGAAGTTGTGCTTTCTCTAGCATTTTGAACAGCTACTACAAGAAGATGCTTTAAAGTACGTTTCAGTAGCTGCAGTGCACCCCTTCCAAGTTGCATTTGCAGGTTTTTCCTCCCTGCAAAGGCCGTGCTCTCTGCCCCTCTGCCGTGAAGCTGCTGCACGGCCGTGCCTGTGTGTGCCAAAGCACTCTCCGAGCCAGGGCGGGGGCTCCCGTTCTCCCTCTGGGGCTCTGCTCTTTCCACCCTAAACTGGTTTTTCGAGTCATTTTTTTCATATGTGCCTCCTCCATCCCTCCTGCTGCTGCTGCTGCTGCTGCTCACCTGCGTTCGGGGAGGAGCCTCCCAGAAACTGCTCTTTAGTGCTCCGCCGACCTTCCCCCGCTGAGTCTTGTTCCACCCCGACAGACCGGAGCGGAGAGCCGGCGCCCACGAGGACTCTGCAGGCTCCGGGAGACCCGCTGGGACTTGGCCAACATGTTCAAGGGGGTGGGCAAAGGCTCCCCGAGCAGAAGTTCCCCCAACAGAGGCTCCCCTGTCAAGCCCAGCAAGTAAGTGTGACCCCTCTCCTCTCTCTCTCCCCATCCTGTGACCCTGGGGGAAGATGAGGGATGAGTGATCCGTGTTTACTAAGTTCCCTTAAGAACTATCCCTCTTTGTGGAGCAGCAGAAGGTTTGGGCTTGCTGGGAGCTGATGCCAAAACTTGCTGCCCCAGCCTTTGTCCTTGTCTTTGGAGGGCTTTGTGCTCCCTCCCAGAAGTCCCTGTGCAGCCCCAGTGCCTGACGATGTGCTCAGGGTGCGATCATTGAGCAGGGAGGTGCAAAAAGCCCCTTTCGGGCAGGAAGGAGTAGGCAGGATAAACACAGCCCCTGTGCTTGGGTGGAGCGAGATCTGCTCGGTGGTGAAGCAGATCCCAGCCTGGGTCTGAGATCCCGGGATTCATTGGTTCCGTGGGGTTGGTGTGATGCTGCCCTGGGATCCCTGCAGAGGGATGCTCAGTCTGGTGCTGCTGAGGTGGAGGAGAGGGGTGGGGAGTGGGTTTGCTCTAACCCATCCTGGGGACAGGCCGGGTCTCTGCAGGTCAAATTGCTGAGTTTGCCTCTTTCGGAGCTGCTTGGAGCAACCTGGTCTGGTGGAAAGTGTCCCTCCCATGGCAGGGGCTTGAAACTGGGTGGTCTTTAAGGTCCCTTCCAACCCAAACCATTCTGTGAGGAGATTCCCTAAGCTCTGGGGAGTGAGATATGTGATGGGACTGGGATGCTTCTGGGAGGGGGTGCTCTTGCAGAGGGAGTGCTCATCCCTCCTTGCAGCTGCTGTTGTTAACTCAGGGTTATTTTCCACCTTCCCCAGCAATTTTGCAGTTTGTGGTGTTGGTGGACTGATTCTGTGGGGATCCCTGTGCCCTGCCAGGGTTGGAGGCCAAGGAAATTGCAAGGGGGTTTGTGCTGAAGAGGAGGGGACCTGCAGGAGGAGGGGGGTGCTGGCCCCCTCTCCTGGGACCACCCCCAGCAGTCCAGAGTGGGGGGCGTGTGTGGACACCTGTGGGGTCACAACATGGTGCTGGCACCCAACTGCTCTGTTTTGGGGGTCCAAACCCCAGGTCACCAAACAGCCAGGGGGTGTTTGGTGGGGGGTGGCGGGTGCTGCTGGGCAGGGCAGCAGGACCTGGGGAGAAGGTGGCCCCTACAAAGGCTGGGGCTGCTCTGAGTGGGTGTCAGGAGCTGGACCCCTGCCACAGGAAGCTTCAGTGGAGCTGAGCACTCACAGACTCATCTTGAAGGCAGGTCTGGGGGCTCCCTGAACACCAAGCATTTGCTGGGGCCTGGCAGCAGTGAGCCACCTCCCCAGCAGCCCTGGAGCTGTGTCAGGCTCTGGGTTTTTTAGCCTTGTTAATGCAATCTATGCACCTCCTCAGCTGGCTTTCAAAGCAGGCTGGGGATTTCTCATGTCAGCTCGCTGCAGCCCCTGCCATGCTGCAGAGGGTTTGGGCCAGGTTCTCCCCTGCCATGAGCCTCTTGGGATAACTGGAGTTGCATCCCAGCGAGACCTCACACCTCTTCCCTGTGCAGGACGGAGGCTGGAGCCAGGAGTGCAGCAATTACTGAGCTAGTTGTGCTTGTTTTAGGAGGCACCAACCATCAGACACAGCCTAATTCGCTTGGCCATGGCCTGGGGCTTGGTCAGCACCCAAAGTAGCTGAGAAAATGAAGGTGGATGAGTTGTCTTGGGAGCAGCCACCAGCACACGCTCTGCAGATGGCCCTGAGAAAATGTTGGTGGCCCAAGGCTGCTCTTGGTGGCCCCAAGGCCAAAAGCTCAGCAGCAGCTGAGGTTCCGTCTCTGGGGTTCACAGTTAGTGATTGGACCCCTACAGAGGTACCTTGTCTTGATCCTTGGGATGATGGTGCTGAGCATCTCAGCTCTCAGGGTCCTTTTCTGCCTCCATTTGGTGGATGCATCCCAGGGAGGCAGCAGCAAGTGGAGGTTTGTCCCCAGGGACCATCCTGGATGTGCCCTGCTCTGCAGGAGGCACTGCAGGGCTGAAAGGGAATACTCATGTGAAGGTGGAATTGAATTGGATCTGGCTGGACTGGCTGCCTGGGTGTGATTTTTAACAAAGGCTGTGGGTGGTTTTGGAGGTGGAGGGGAAGTCACCTCCTGGTTTAATCATCTCCTGGGATTGCTGCTTTTGCCACTGCCCCCTCCTACTTCTCCTTGATCAGTCTAGAGCAGGGTGGACCCCGGGATTAACAGGCTCAGGGATTAACCCAGCACTGGCAGGGGGTCAGTGGTGCTGTGCTATGATCTGCTGGCAGATCAAAATGTACAAGGACATGTCAGGGAGAACAGACCCAGCTTTGGGGTCTGCCATAAAACAAAGTCCCCTGTGAGGAAGGGATGGAGGGATCAGGGACTGCAGCACATGGGTGCTGTGGTCCTGCCCAAATGTGCCCTGGAAGGAGTGACCAGGAGTGGGGTCAGTGCTCAGTGATACTGTCCCTTGCGTGTGGCTGGACTGTCCAGGAGGCAGAAAGTGGTATGAGAAATGAACCAATTAATAATGATAATAGTAGTGCTCTGCCTCTCCCAGGCATGAGATAGCCCTAGGGAGGAGGCTGTCTTGGCTCTGGAGGAGGAGGAGCAGGAGGAGCTGTGCTGAGCCTTGCCCTCAGCTGTCCTGGGGCTGTGGCTGTACCATGAGCTGTGCAGGGAGCTGGGCCTGAGCTCTGGGAGGCTGAGGGATGCACAACATGACCTCGTGGCTCCTTGTATCCCACCTGATGCCAGGCTGCCTCTCTGCAGCCCAAATGTCAGTATCTTCATCCTGAGATGTGGGGCCCAGCTGGGTTGAGTGAGGGCTCCTGCCCAGGAGCAGCAGGGATGGGGCAAGAGGACACCCCAAGGAAGGATGGTGAGGCACCACGTCACTGCAGCCTGTGTGGATGGGTGTTTGCACTGACAGGAGAAGCTCACACTCAGCACGGGGCAGACCCCCTCTGCTCCTGAGGTGATGCTCTCCAGGAAGCATTTTTGCAGCAGCATCCTGGTCTCTAATGTCCGGTGCCCTGTGCAGCACAGGCTGGGATGGGCTCAGTCCCCATGACCAGGAGGCTTCTCACGTCTTTTCAGTCCATACTTTTCTTGTGGCTCAGCCTAAACAAAGCTGATTCCTGTGTCCAGCCTGGTAAACCAAGAGATGGGATGTCCCGGTGTTTCCTTCAGCCAGAAAGGGGTGCCAGCAGGAATAAGCAGGATTTTGTTGGGGATCTACCCTTCCTGGGAAGGATGGATCCTCACTTCTCCCCTCTTGGAATGGCACAGAGGTATTCACAGTCACAAGACAAACTGGGATGGGCTCAAACTGGACACCCCATTCCCACTCTTCCCAAGTGGGAGCTGAATTTGTTCAGACTTCTTGGGGGAACAATGCTCTCCCTGCCCAGTGGGAGAGGTGTCCGTCCCCTGGGACAGCTGCATCCATCCACTGGGACTGCTGCATCCATCCCCTGGGACAGAAGCCAGCCCAGCCCGTGACTCACACTCTCCTCCCTGCTCAGAGAGCCCGGGCAGGAAATTTGGGTGGTGCTCCAGTATTTGCTCATGGGACACCACCTCATTCCAGGCGTGTCAGGGATGAGTGGGAGATTGTGTAACCTCCTGGGGAGGGGAGACCTCTGAGAGCTTCTGTCCTGCTGCACACTCAGGCTCACAGGGACCAAGTCCTGGCTCTGTGCTGCTCCCACCCACCCCTTTGTGCTGGGGCTTGGGGCCAGCATTCATCTCCCTGAGCTTGTCTCAGAAAGGCATCCATGGGGCACAGATTGGGTGGGAGGGATGATTAATGGGATATAAAAGACAGGTTGTAGCAGACAGTGATGCTTGGATGGGGATGATGATGATGATGATGAACACTCTGCTTGGGCTCTTCGCCTCCGTGATCCCTGGAATTAGACCCTGTAGAGGGGGCCCTGCTGGAGCACAGCAGTCCCCGTTTACTTTACTCACTGCATTCCAGGCAGGGAAGCAGAGGCATGGCTGGGAGATTCTGCCATCCAAAATCCCCCAGGGCAGCTGAGAGCTGCTGCTGCCCTCTTGGGAAATCAAAAACAAGGGAGGAAGTGGAGAAAGGGGACAGGAGGATGCCGAGAGCAGGAGTGCTGGGGCTGTGCCTCCGCTGGAGTTACACAGGCTACAGTCAGAGTGGGCTGGGCTCACTTGAAACAGGAACTGTGGCATCTGAGTGCTTGGCTTGGGGTGACCATGACACTCACTGGCACGTTACAGTCACTTGGGGCTGTAATAAATGAATCCCAGTATCTGCTACAGCCTTTGGAATGAACGGTGGAACAGCTGGAGCCATGCTGAGGATCTGGAGCAATGACAGAGCCATTAAGGGAACCACTTCCCTCTGTCCTTTGCTGGATTCAGGGACCTGGAAGGAAAGCACATGGCTCTAGGGCAGATGTGGTGGCTCTGCTGCAGGACATCACCTTTCTCCCACCTTCTTCTTCCACCAAAGAGGTACCGACCTGCCTGAAGAAGTGTCCCCCGCCCAGGCCCCCATGCAATGTCACACTGCTGCTGCTCAAACTCTTCCTCCTGGTCTCAGACCCCAGCGTTGACACGTAACCTCACTGAACTTTGTCCCATCTGCAGCATTCCGAGGGCTCTGCATGATGTTATTGCTCCACACCCTCCTGCCTCTGCCCACACCATGCTCTCCCTGCCTGCAGGGTAGGGCTGGCACTGTCCTCAAGGGCAGATGCTGCTAGAAACAACAGGACAATGAGGACGAAGGTGGCACCAAGGTTTGTGCTTCCCTGTCTGCAGGGAGCTTTGGGAGCCATCCCATGCCTTGCTGCAGGCTTTGGATCCAGCTGTTTCAGCAGCTCATTCCCAGTCCCGGTGATGGAGTAAGGGCTGTGATGGCACCATCGGCTGTGTGATGGCCATGGGGTGACAGGCAATAGGGAATGGTCTGTTGGGAACCTTCAGTGAAGCCTCTCTGGGGCAAGGAGAGCTGGCAGGTGTGCAATGGCCTTGGGAAATTAGAATTATAGAATCACAGAGTACCCTGAGTTGGAAGGGACCCATCAGGATCATCGAGTCCATCTCCTGACCGTGCACAGGACACCCTGACAACCCCACCATGTGCCTGAGAGCATTGTCCAAACACTTCCTAAATGCAGACAGGCTTGGTGCCCTGACCACTGCCCTGGAGAGCCTGTTCCAGTGCTCAACCACCTTCTGGGTGATAAATCTTTTCCTGATATCCAACCTAAACCTCCCCTGACTCAGCTTTGTGCTATTCCCCAAGCTCTGAAAACAGCACAAATGCAACAGCCTGTGCAGCACCCAGGGGGTGCAAGTCTCTGTCCTCTGCAGCCCAGCCCTGGGGTGGCACTGGGCTCTCCAGTGACTCAATGGGCCCAACTGTGGAGCACTTCACATGGGACAAGACAGCAGGATGGCAGCTCTGGGTCAGGCTGAAGGGCCACCTCTGTCAGCAGCTGAGGGCAGGCACTCAAGGAAGTGTCTCCAAACAGGGTGAGCATGTTGTGCTGCCTCTGCAGGGTGCTCTCCTGGCCTCCAGCCGTCTGTGGCTTCAGGTCTTCCCAGCCCAGATGTGGTGTCAGTGCCTTTGGGAGCCCTACAGTGATTTGTTGTTTGGTGTTTTTTCCTTTTATTTTTTTTAATTTTTTTTTCCTCCAATGCTTTTTGAATCCACCTGAACTTTTGGGCATCTGCAGCTGGGAGTTGTGCAGATGTGAAAATCTGCTCACCCTGAACACACCAGCTCTTACCTTCTCTTGTCTGAAGGCAACAGCCAGGCATCAACCACTTGTGTGTGTCTGTGCCCTTGGCCACGGCTCATAACCCTCTCCTTGGAGACCAGGAGGATATGGGGAAAGGCCTGAAGGACCACACCTGGGACAGGTCCTGGGCAGTGATGAAGAGGGTGGGAGTTGCTTTCACCCACCCCTCTGCTCTGCTGTTCCCTCCCTCAGGTCCTCCACAAATGAGCTGGCCGTGCTCATCTCCCGCATGCAGACAAACGCCGACCAAGTGGAGAAGGACATCCTGGAGACACAGTCGAGGCTCAAGCAGGTGAGCTGTGGCAGAGGGTGGTGGGAAGGTGAAAGTCTTTGCCTCCAAATGCAGTGTCTGGGATGACAGGTCAGGTGTCTGCTCTGTGCGTGCTGGTGCAGGTTTGGGGGCTGACTGGAGGCTGGGGAGGAACAGACACCCCACAAAGCCTCCCAGCCCCTGAGGCTGCATCCCAGGGCCTCCCAAATTCCAGCCTTGTGCTTTTCTGCTCAGTGCCTCATGCTTCCCACAGCCAAGGCTGTCTCACCTACGGCAGCACAGCCCTGTGCCTCCCAGCAAGCTCAGAAGCAGCCAGTCTGACCCACACCAGTCCCTGGGTGGGAGGGACACTGGAACAGCAGCTGGGCTGGGCTCCCCAGCTCAACCCTTTTACCAGGAATCCTCTGTGGTTGACATGTTGAGGACCCAGAGCCTCTGCATTGGCCAAGGAAGGTGTTGTGAGGTCTTTGTGGTCCAACCAGGCTGTTTTTCTCTGTCTCCCTTGGTCTTCAGGATTCCAGCAATCAGCAGAAGAACAAGGCTTTTGAGTTCCAGACAGAGAATGCCAGGAACCTGAAGGAAGCAGAGACCCTGCTGAAGGATCTCTTCCTGGATGTGGATCGTGCCAAGCGGCTGAAACACCCACAGGCTTCTGAGATAGAGAAAGAGTGAGTGCAGTGGGGGGACTGATGTGATGGGGGCACTGAGCAATTGGGAACCCCTCTATGATCTAGACTGAGTTCCAGTCATTGCCATGAGAGGTAGTGTCAACTCTTCTTCCCACAGAGTTTAGCCTTAAAATCAGATTTTCTGCCAATATATTATAGAGATAGGAGTGTACAGAGTGGCTGCCAGGGTGAGTGCCCAAGAGGCCCCATTCTTTTGGGAGCTCCTGTAAAAGGTACCAGAAAAACGCAGAGATAAAATGTGGCCCCACTCTCAGGGCAAATCCCCTTTTCCTCTGCATTTCCTAAAATGAATGCCTTTGGTTCAGGCAAGCACAGAGTCAGACGTGGTTGTTGGAATGGGAGAAGAGCTTCAGTTGGCTTCTGGTGCTTTGTTCCCCTTCACTTCCAGCACTACTAGGTGGAAATCAGGAGGGAATGGTAGTTTTCTTGCTGGGAAGGCACAGCCCTGATCTCCCTGCAGTGTCATCCTGGGCTGTAATTTCTGAGACATCCCTGGAGACAGAGAACAGCAGGACAAGTGCCTCCACTGCTGAAGGAGGCCAGTGCCACAGAGGGACAGCAAAGTAGCCTGAGTGTTGCAAGTGAAATCTGGGCTCCACAAACCCCACTTTGGCTGTCCCTCTTCCCAGCTGACACAGAGACATGTGCCCTTTCCCCTTGGCAGCATCCAGCAGCTCCATGACCGTGTGACCCAGCTGTGTGCCGAGTACCGGGCCCTCTACGAGCAGCTGAACGTCCCCGACGTGGGGCCCAGGGTGGACTGGGCCAGGATTCTGGACCAAAAGATGGTAACAGCAGCTGGGTTTGGATGCATCTCCAAACTGTGTGCTCAGCATTATGCAGGGATGTTGCAGGGTGGTGGAAATAATTCAGTTGCTCTGGGTGGAAGAAAGACTCTCCTCCCACCTCTTAAAACACTCTGGATTGACCCTTTCAGATTAAGAGCTACCAGGAGTCAGGTAGAGAGCTCTGCTGTGGGATGAAAGGATGCAGAAGGTGATGTCTCCTACAGCTTGACAGCCCTTCCCTTGAGAGTTTCTCACTGTGAGGTCTGGGTATTTAGAGTGGCCAGATTGGAGTCAGTTTGGATTCCCTTGAAAGCTGGATGGTAACTAAGTGCATCCAAAGCATGTCACCATAGGCAGGGAGCTGGTGCAGCTTAGGTTTCTACATCAGGGTTATATGCCCTGGTTATCTTTTTCCCTGTGTATGGCTGGGGAAAAGGCAATCAGCAGCAGTCACAGGAATAAACAAGATCCCTTCCCTTGCTCCCAGCCCGCTATCAGATTCCAGATCTTTTCATGCCCTGCCAGCACTCACTGGGGTTTCTCCTTGAAATAAAGCCTTTTGCTTTAATCTCTGCCTAATTCCTTTTGCACAGAAACAAGTCAACGCAGGGCAGTACGGCCCTGGCATGTCAGAGCTGGAGAAGCAAATAGCTGAGCACAACATCCTGCAGAAGGAGATCGAAGCCTACGGGCTCCAGATCAAGAACCTCCATTCCGGGGTAGGGCATCCTCTGTCCCCTCCTTGTTCTTGTTGCTTCACTCAGGCCCATGTCCCATCTGCTCCTCTGCACAGTGAATGTTCACCCTTGTTTTGCAGAGGGCATGGGGGGCCTGAGCTGGGACAGATGGAGCCATTCAGGGGCCGGGGAGGTGATTCTTGGATGGTTTCTAAAGCGCATTCCATAAATCAGCTCATCAGTATCTACCACATGTTTTGATAACAGCTTTTTTTTTCTCTCTTTTTTTCTTCCCCCCCGCCCCCCTTGGTCTGGGCTGTGTTGTAACCCAGGATGTGGCAGATTTAAAAAGCCAGTACAAGGACTTGCTGGTAAGCTTCTTGGTGGTTTTCTGTGCAGATGGGGTCATACAGCGGAGTAACACCATCCCTGATGGACTGGGAATGCCCAGCTCAAAGCAGGAGCTACCTCTGGGCTTGCTCAGTGATGTCCCTCTTCTTCTTTCCTCATTTCCTTCCCAGCTTGGGATGGGTGTAAATTGAGAGCACTCTTGCTGCCCTCAGGGCAATGCCGTGGGTGAGATCCATGTCTCTCCTCTTCATGGGTCATGGATCTGGAGCTGCCCATGTGTGTCCATGAGCACAGGGATACAGAGGCAGCAAGAAACCCATCCCAGCCCACACGCTGTTCCCAATCAGGATTGCAAATGCTGAGGCTCAACCTTATCCCTATCAAGGGCTCCAGAGAGGAAATGAGCAGCAGGAGCAAAGGAGGTGGCTGGGAAGAAGGTCCTGGTTTTAGCCAGCTGGGCCCATGAAGGTTTAATGTTGAAAATGGGATTTATAAGAAACACAGCAGAGCTGGGCCAGCTCTGAGAGTGCCCGAGGCACCAGCCCACACCTGGGATTCTGGTTAGACAAACATATCCTGTCTGTGGGGAGGGAAGGGGAATGGCAACCCCATCAGATAAGAGCCAGTGGTGGCAGATTTCTCACTGAGGTCTCTGGGAATCTCCTGGTGGATGTGCAACAGGAGCAGGGTCCTGGGGAGGAGGGGAAAGGGACTCCCCAGGCTGAGCACCAACACCATCTCTCTCCCGTGTGTGTGGGCAGAAAGCCTCCATCTGGCGAGGGCAGAGCCTGGGCAGCCTCTACCACCACCTCCAGGGCTGCACCAAGGAGCTGGGCTACCTGACAGAGCAGCAGACCAAGATCCTGAAGCAGGACTGGAGTGACCAAATGATGGATGTGCAGAGTGTGCGTCGGGAGTACGAGGTGAGCTTTGGGGGGTGGCAGCGGGTCCTGGCTTGGGAGGCTGACCAAGCCTGGCATGTGAGATTTGCAGGATGGATCCCAGCCTGCTGGACATCCTCCACCAGCCCTGAGCCTGGGGCTTTCCCAGGGCAGCCCAATAGTGCTGGGCACTGAAACAGAGGTGGAAGAGATCCTCTGGATCCATTGAGGAACTAGGGATGAGCCACTCTGTGTGTCCCTGCCAGTCCCCTGAGCTGGAATGTGGGATCATATGTTAGAGAGCTGTCAGTGAGGCAGAGAGAAGGGAAGGACTCAGTATCACATCAGCCTCAGTGGCCAACATACAGAACCCAGTGACTGCTATGTGCTGGGACCAGGAAGAATAGAGGGATAATTGCTTAGGAAAATGCTCTTTGAATGAATGCCCTGATGCCTTCTGAGGCCCAAGTGTGTCTAATTTGTTTTAGCTTTGCCTAGTCTTTTCTGTTTTTAAAAAACAAACAAACAAGGATGTCTATGCTTTGGGAGCCTTGTCTCTGTTATGTTGGGGTTTGGTGCTCTCTGTGCTCCTTGCATGCTCCCAAGGTCATGAAGTTTCTCTTCCCCTCCAGGATTTCAAGTCCAATGAGCTGCTCAGCCAAGAGGAGTTTGTGAACCACCTTCAGGACGATGGGGACAGGATGATTGAACTGAAGCACCCAGCCATCAAGCCTATCCAGGTAGGGAGAGGGGGGTCTCTTCCCAAACACTGTAGGAGAACCAGAGTGCCTGTGCATCAAGAACCAGGGGGAGGGTTGGAGGAGACCCCTTCACATCTTCTGCAGTTGTTGCTCTTTCTTCTCACACTGCACTGGCTGTACTGCAGCACCTTTCTGCCTATTCCAACCTTATGGGGAAGCTGAGGGCAGTGCAGGGTCTTCACCCCTTTCAAAATCTCCAGGAGATGGTGGGAACCATCTGTGTGCTGGGACCAGCTCCTGCCCAGCTGCTCAGATATATTGGTGCTGCAGGGAGCTATGACATGGTGTGATTTCTCCCAAGTGAAACCAGTTCCCAGCTGCCCAGGTTGTATTTCCAAGCCTGCAGATGCAGTGTGAGGCTGAAGTGGGCTCTCAGCCCCCAGCACCACCAGAGCTGAGACCCCTTGGGGAATGGTGGCAGCTCTGTATGAGCCAAGTCCTTCTCAAGGAGTGTCCTTGCCCAGGTTCAGCATCAGGCAGTGCCTGGGCACAGCTTTGTCTCTGCTCTTCCTCTGATCTCTGGGACTTCTGGGGAAAGGAGACCAGTGCTGGGGGAGGTAGGACCAGCTGGAGCCCACTGAGCTGTGCTCTGTCCCACCACAGGCTCACCAGGAAGCCTTGAAGAACGAGTGGCAAAATTTCCTGAATCTCTGCATTTGCCAAGAAAGCCAACTGAACAGTGTGGAGAGCTACAAGAAGGTAAAAAGCAAATTCATGGGCCATGGGTCTACAGGTCAGGCCAGAGTGGGCAAGCTGGGAAGAGAGAAAGTAGAGGAATGAGGATGGGAGATCCTCTGCTGGTACCTAGTCAGGGCATTTTGGGGAAACACCCCTCAAAACCTAATCTTTTAGAGATGCTGGGAACTGAGAGACCCCACTGGACTTGGAGGTAGTAAGGTTCCCCCGTGCCTGACTGTTTTCCTACCCACACCTCCAGTTCCAGGATGATGCTGAGGCTGTGAGCCGCTCCCTGAAGAAGATGAGCTCTGACCTGGACACCAAATACAGCAAGTTCAACAAAGACAGCCCCGGGGTGGTGTCAGATCTGCTGCTTCAGCTGGAGGTGAGATCTTCAGGGCTGGTGGAACCAGCCAGACCTAAGGGGCAAATCCAAAGTTGTAACCTCCCCAATAAATAACAGTGGGGAAGAGGAAGAGGTGGGTAAATAACCCTATGGGGACATCTCACCACAGCTCTGTGCTCGGGAGAGAGAAGCCCCTGGCAATACTGTGCTCTGAGTGCTGAGTCCCTGCATCCCAGACTGCAGGGCAGTGACCCCTGGGACAGCACTGTCCCCATCAGTGACACACAGCCAGGCCCCAGGTCACCATCAGAGTGAAGGAGAAGTGCAGGGAGGAGCCTTGTGTTGTCCTTAATAGGAGACACTTGGATTAGAGGGCCCACAGAGTGTGAGCCACTGGCACTCAAGCAGAAGGGAAAGGTCCTCCCATCTCCTCAGCACTCCCATGAGCCAAAGGCAAGGGAGGGAATAAAGAAATCTGACCTGAGGGGTGAGATGCAGATAAGAAAGGAACATTTGCCCGGGAGAGAGGGAAGGGACACGTTCAACATGGTATCTTCCCAAGCATGCAGCACATTTCACTCTCAAGAGGTGCTTGGATCTTGGTACTTTCTGACACTGGAATGCAGCCACCTCTTGGCAGGCCTCTGTCCCATTCCTGAAAAAGAAAACTTCTTCAGGAGATTTTAATACAACAGTGTGGGTTCACCTAAGGTTAACTCAGACTGTGCCTTCAAAGGAAGACCTGCTGTGAGCAAAGGAAACCGAGGAGAGTGTTGATAATGAAAAGGGGAAGAAGGGACATGGAGGGATCAAGAATGGAGAACCTCCTGACTCTGCTCCACAAGAGTGGACAACTGGTCCCAGCATACTCACTGTAGTGTGACCCTCCCCTTCCTTCTCATGCAAGCCTGGTCACAACCACTGTCTTCCCTGTTTTGTCTAGAACGAGGAGAAGGCGTTGAAGCAGGCAGAGAAGAACATCGCTGACCTGAAGAGAAGGAGCAAAGAGATCAGCCCCCTGAAACTGCGCAGGACACGTCCCTCTCAGCCCCTCACCTTGGACACCCTCTGTGACTGGGATGCTGGGGAGGTGAGGGCTTGACTGGCAGCACCTTCAGAAGAAGCAGGGAGCTGAATTCTTCTTTGGTTGCTCCAGATCTTGGCTCTGTGGTGGGAGGAACCATCCTAGTGCCAGAAAGCCAAGCCTTTCACCGGGTTTTGTGTCTCTGTCCCAGGTGCAGCTGACCAGAGGGGACAAGTACACCCTGAAGGACAACAGCAACCCTGAGATGTGGGTGGTGCAGAGCAGTGCTGGTGTGGTCCAGGAGGCACCTTCTGCTTGCTTCTCCATTCCTCCACCTGACCCTGAGTCCATAGACAAGGTCAATAGGTGAGTCTGCAGCACAGAGCCTGACCCAGAGAGACATTTAGACTCACTCAGGTCATAACCAGCCTGATCACCTCACCTGCAGCTGGGGACAGGACTCATGACTATCTCTAGTACGAAATTTCTCTCCTGGAGAGGTACCTTATCCAGGTTCCTTCCATTCCTCAGCAGCCCTGCACACTGCATGGACCTCATTGTCAAAGAGTTTTCTGGCAGTCAGGCTTGATTTCTTCACCCAAACATGTGACTCGCACAGGTCTGACTAAATTCATTGCAGAATCAGTCTGGAGTTTGGGACTTGCCAAACAGGACAGAGTTATCTGTGGTATCTCCTCTCAGCCAGCCTCAGCTGGAGACTGAGAAATGCTCCTTGAACCACCGTAGTTCTGCTGCCTGCCTGCTCCGTCAGCTTCTGCCGTTCCCACAGGACGGGGCGGTGGTGCAGGGAGGTTGGCATTACCTTTTTAATCATGTCCCCGGGTCTTTGGATAAATCAGTGCAGCTCAAGTGCCATGGAAAGGCCACAGCCCTGACTCAGAGCTACGTGGGCATGTCCGTGGTGGGAGCTTGGGTCCCCAGGCACAACGGGCAAGATTGCTGCATTGTGTTGCTCTTCCTCAGTGCCCACCCCTCTTCACACATCCCAGATTACTGAGTCCTTTGGATTTATGGGTTTCATGTGTGCTTTAAAACAGAAGTTTAGTTCCTCTGCATGGAGCTGTGCCCTGGACCCCCCAGACAGCCCTTGTCTGACAGCAGTCAGGCAAGCTGGGAATTGCAGGTTTTAGCACCCAGTGTTTAGTTGGAGCAGTCCATAGCAGGGATCACAACTGGCCTGGTCTTTTCTGGTTCCCTTCCTCCTAGTTTCATTAGGCTTTTTTCTCCCAGAGATACATTTTGGTCCTTCCAGTTTTACAGATCCCAGCTCTAGTTTCATTAGACAGGAACCATCCTTTCGATTGAGACTTGGCATTTCTATTGCAGCAGCCACAGCAGCAGCTCCTTGTACTGCCTTCCTGTGAAGCTGCAAAGCGCTGCCACCATATGAAATCAACTTCCAGCTTTGACAGCTTCTGCTGAGGGTTGGAAACGCTGGCTCCATTGGCAGAAGTCAGCTGCTCAAGCCGACCAGCTGCTTTTGCTGCTCTTCCCTTTCCTGAGGGATGTCTCCGAGTTACAACAGGCTGCAGGCTCCCAGACTGCCCCTGCCTTCGGGGACACCTTCCCCTGCCTTTGGGGACACATTCCCAGCAGGAGCCACAGAGCTGCTGCCATGCTGGGCTCTGTCAGGCCACGCTCAGGGCTGTGTCCCATCCTGCTGGCTGAGGATGCTCCTCTCTGCTCACAGGCTGGAAGGGGAACTGAACACGGTGAAGCAGAAGCGAGCGGCAGTTCAGAGCACCCTGAGACGCAGCCAAAAGGAACAGGTCCAGCCCAGCCAGCAAGGTATGTCAGCTGGATAGTCCAGCCCTCTCCAAAGCCAGCACCTTCCTCCCAGAGCTCCCAAAGCAGACTGGAAGCAAAGCACCCACCCAGGGTGGGCAGAGGTACCTGCAATACACACACAGGTCTCTGTGGGAGGTTGCTTTCTGCTCTGTGGAAAAGAACAGCCACGGGATAATCTGACTCCTGGTGCTGCCAAGGACTCACTATGTGATATCAATTCACTTAAAATCTGTTGCCCTTCTCAAAACTCTGTGATTGACCTTCAGCTCCATCAACAGCTGCAGGGTATTTAGGGTTGCAGAGCGATGTGCCTATCCAGAAACCGTAATTAAACCTGCTTTGTAATCTGGGTGCCTTGCAGTTCTCTTCCCTACCTGGGGGCTGTGGAATAAGCAGGCAGCCAGGGCTAAATCCCAACCCCTGCCTAGCCGTGTTATTCCCACAGCTATAATTCAAAGGCTCCCAGCAAAGCTGAGCAGGGATGTGTCTGCAAAGACTTGGCTGTCTTTGTCCCTCCTTTGGACTTGAGCTCTGGCTGGCCAAGGAAGAGCTAAAAGCTGGGGATTAACCTAAGCTGTGTCTTGCTGCAGCTCTGTCCAGGAGCCCTCCAGCAGTCCAGGATGATCCCCAAGCTGACCGGCTCCTCAGTAGCCTGGATCGTGTTGGCAAGGACCTGGTTCAGGTAGAGAAGGAGGTCTTGAACCGAGTGAGGTCTCCTGTGAACTACAATGACCCCACGGATGACCTTGCCAGGAGGATCAAACAGCAGCAGGTGAGTTGGAGCAGGAGGAGTTTGGTAGCTCTGTGTCCTTGCCCCAAAGCAGGTTGACATAGAAATTACATGAGAGATGGCAGCTGGTGCTTCAAAGAAGCTGTAGTTGCAAGGGTTTCAGGCTGGCTTGAATCCTTAAAATGGGACAGGCTAAGCCAAACCCTCAGGAAACCCTTGGCTCTGTACCAATCTGTACGTTTGTTTCAGAGCTGTGGTCCAGGTCTTGGGAATTCAGTCCTCAGCTTGGTCGTGGGGACTCTGTCACCCTGCACTCTCAAGTCTGTAGCAAAAAAATGAAGGGATAGAGGGAATTAATCCAAGGACTGGCTTTGGCTCACCCGATGGGAAGTACAGACTGGTAGATGTCAGTGGCACAGGAAAAGAGGCAGTGCCCTGGAGCCCTCCTCTTTCCTCTGGGATAAGGTCTGGGCCTGTAGCAGCTCAGCTTGTTACGTCTTCATCTGTGGGTATTTATCCAGCCCTGGCAGAAGGATGGGCTCAGGCAGGTTTTTTCCATCTCTTTCCCACACCCTGCCATTGCCAGACAGCCACAGTCTGGATGGGGCTGTGCCCCAAGGGGCAGCTCCTTATGAGAGGGGTACCACACCCTGAGCCCCACAGCCAAATCCGCCCCTGGGGGAGACAAGTTTCCACTGCAGCACTGTTATGACTGTGTTGGGTGACTCTGCTCCCATCTGATGTGCCAGGAAACAACAAAGAAGCTGGAGAACCTGGGGGCAGCCAAGGATGCCTTGCAGAAGGAGTGTGAGACCTACCTTTCCAAGAAATCCACCAGCACCTCGGCTTCCCAGCTCCCTGTCACGCTGAACGCCCTCAGGAGCAAGTACAATGATGTCAATATGCTCTCCAGCCTGTACAACGAGAAGTGAGTGATGGTGGCAAGGCCTGATGGGGGTGAGGGAAGGAAGTCCTTGCACAGAGGTGTCAACACAGAAGCATGACAGAAAATGCTTTTAGTCTATGTCGGTGTTTGTTGAGGTCCTGCACGGGTTGGAAACCTCCTATCCATCACCAAAGCGACCTCTGAAAGAGTTTCTGTGTGTATTCTGTGCTCAGATCCCCCCACTGTGGAAAATCCACCACAATGGGTGTGTGTCCTAGCTCTGTTGTTGTGAAATGCAACATATCTGACTTCTGGGCAGCACTACAGGGTCGTGAGTGCAGTGCTTGTTCCCTGTCATGTTGGAGAAGCTCCGATGTTAAATAAGCTTAAACACGCAAAATCAGAGAGCAGAGGAGAAGAATGGGGTCTCCTGTAGCTAACCTCGTCCTGTCATTTTTTCCCTTTCCCAGGGCCAAGGCTGCCCTCAACCTGGAGACTCAAATTGAGAACACAGACAAGATTGTCAGCACATTTGAGGCCAAGCTGGCTCAGGACAGCATCATTCCTGCATCCCCCAATGCCCTGCAGGATCGTGCCAATGACCTGCAGGTAGGGGAACATCAGGCTCTTCCTTAAGGAAGGGACATCTCTGAGCTCAGGTAGCAATGGTGGGAGGAGCTGGACTTTGCTAATTTGAGCACCTCGAGGTGCCAGCAATGAAGCCTTTTTAAGGACTTGTTCCTTTAAGGTTTCATGTTGGTATTGCAGGCTGACCCGCCTTCACTGGCCAGCAAAAAGCTCTGTCCCTCTCAGGCTACCTTTGAGTCCCTAAAATGATGACCACCTTAGCATCTAATCTCTGTTGCTCTGCCTCACACGCATCCCTAATCTTTCCTGCTTCCAATCTCCCTGCTCCATCCTCAACACTCACGGGGACCCTTTTTTACCTTCTCCCAAACTTCTGCATGCTGCTCCATCCACTGTCCAACCCACCTTACTTCCCACATTGCTTACCGAGTAAGTCTCACTGCTCCACCTCTTCCACCTTGCACATCCCTTGGAGAGCCTGACCAGCCCCCAGGTACTGCACAGTTAGTGGTGACAGGTTAAGGAGGGTGTTTGGTTGGTGCATTGACTGCTACAAACCTGGAGGTGTCTTTTCTCTCCCCCTGCAGAAGATGAGGCGGGACCTGGTGGCCCAAGAGGACTGTGTGCTGAAGCTGAACCGGGGGCTGAAGGATGCCGAGCACAGCTGCAGTGCCGTGCAGAACAACTTCCAGGAGTTCTGTCCTGACCTGCCGCGGCAGAAGCGGGAGGTGCAGCTCCTCAATGATCGCTACCACGCCGTTGCCGACCAGCTGGATCAGCGGTGAGGGGCTGTGGGATCATCTCTGCTCCTCTTGGCTGACGTGGACCAGTGTTAGTCAGGGTCACAGAATCACAGAATATGACCAGTTGGAAGGCACCCATAAGGATCATCGAGTCCAACTCCTGGCCCTGCACAGGACCATCCCCAAGAGTCACACTGTGTGCTTGAGAGTGTCATCCAAATGCTTCTTGAGCTCTGTCAGCTTTGGTGCTGTGACCACTGCCCTGGGGAGCCTCTTTCAGTGCCCAACCACCCTCAGGGTGAAGAACCTTTTTCTGATATCCAACCTAAACCTCCCCTGACTGCAGGACCCTGATCCTGACCACTATCCTGTAATACTGAGGACTGGGTCTGTCCTGCTCTGTAGTTGCCACCTTCCTATGCACAGCACATGCTTTGAGCTTCCAGATACCTGAGATAAGGCAGTTTTTGACTACTGGCCTCTGCCTGACACAGGGACCTTACATATAGAGACCCTTTTAGACACTTCTCCCAGGGATTGCTGCTGGTTGTCTGCCTTTTTCCTTCTCTCATCTCCCAGGTAATGTTCATGCTGCAGTAGCAAACCTGATGTGCGCAGTTAGGCTCCCCACTCAGGGATCAATTGTCACTCCCTTGGTTTTTGTTATCTTGGTGTGTGTTGTGACATTGTCATCAGAGTGTCTTTTTAGGAACTTGCAGATAAATCTTTGCCCTTCCCCTTAATGTTCCTGTTCACCTCTGTCCTGTGCAGAGAGAAGACCCTCAGAAACATCAGCCTCACCTACCAGCAGTTCCAAAACTCCAATGAGAACCTGATGTTCTGGATGAACAACCTACCCAAGCACCAAGTGAAGACCACTGATGGGCCAAGCCAGATCAACTACAAGCTGCAGGCACAGAAGGTGTGTTCCAGGGCAAGCATCATAACTGTAATGTTACGGGGATGTGGGAATTGGCTTGCATAAAAAATTGTACCATCAGCTCCTGGATGAGTGCTCCCACTGTCACAGTGAATAACTGTGATTGCAGCCCACAGATGGTGTATCTACAATCCTGAAAGATTGTACCTTGGGCTGAGATGTTGCACTGGGTCCTGCATCTTTCTCTCCTTTAGCAGATCCTAAGCTCAGTAGTTCAGATGATGAGTTGTGGAGGTCTCTGTGTTGGCTGCTATTTATCTCATATGTGATAAATCAGTGTACCAGGTCCTGGGCAAGTGATAGTGCTGCTGAGATCCTCTAAAGCCTTGGAGACTCTTCCTAAATATCTTCCTGTTCCCATCATTCCCTCAGCTGAGCTAATTCTCTAGGCTGCAAGAGTGTCACTGTGTTGCTGTATTTCAACCTGTCCTTAACACCACATGTGTCTCCTGCAGAGGCTGGTGGAGGAGATTGAAAGCAAGGAGCCCGAGAAGAACGCTGTGGTCAGACTGTCCCGGAATGTGCAGTCCACGCTCAATGTATGGCTGGGTTTTCCCATTTATCACTCCCTTAGTGTCTCACATGAGAGATCCCACCTGATTCTCCTGTTTCTGCTCTGGACAGGACTATGAACTTGAAGCAGGCAAATACAGCTCTTCTCTGGACCCTTCCCTGACCGACTCTGCTGCAAAGAGGCTGCGTGTGACCCCCCTGCAGGAAAGCATCCAGGCCCAGGTAAAATGTTCAGATGAAGGCATGGAAACCATTGTCTATCTCCTTACCCGTGCCCCAATGTCCTCTGCAAGGTCTTAATCTGCTCTTACAGCCACAGATGATCATAGTCAAATCCCAAGGTCGAAGTCATCAGGGATCTCTTTGTCTATGGTGGAAAGCAGCACATGAGGTCCAGAATTAGGGTTGTGCCTGGTACCTTGTGATTGCTGATGCTGCCTCTTTACCATGATGTGTGTGAAGATAAGACTTACAGGGTAGTTGTGTGAGGGCAGGAAGGAGCCAGAGCTCCTCTGTGCTGCTCCCAGTTGCACCCCAGTTGTCCTGCATCACCTCGGGCTGTTCACCAACTGCCATTCATGTGTGGCCCAAGGTGAATTTGGAAGTCTGGACTTAGCGTAGACCTGCAGGCATCTAACAGGCACTCAAATAATGGGGACAGGATCTTCTGCACGAGTCCCTAGACTCTGTGTGTCTCTATGGAGTCAGACGTGAAGACACCAATCCCTGAAATTGTTCAGTACACAAAGTGCATCCAGGTGAAAGGAGGGGTGGCAGAGTGTCCCACCCAACAGAGCTGTGTCAGGGTGAGGGGACAAGGTTCTCACCGCTGTTTCTTTTTTAGGAAAGTGATGTAACCAAGCTCTACATGGAGCTGGCAGCAGAAAATAAACAGCAGCTCAGCCGGCTGGAGTTTGCCAAGAAGATTGTTGAGAAGGTACCAGCTCACAGCAAGATTGGGGTATTCTAGGTTGGGGGTTCAAATCTGCTCAGCCTGGGGTTCCCCCTTCCTGAGTCTTCACATCCAAGCGTGAGGAAGGAAGGAATGAAAACCCTCTGAGAAAAAGACCACAAGTAATCACAGTTTACTGACACTTATCTTAGGCTGTGACTCTCTCACTTGTGTGGACCCTCAGCTCTTTACTGAAGCTGTAGTGTATGCTAGGAAAAAAGACTAGGGCTCTTAAGGCCTGTCCTCAGCTATATCTAATCAACATTCACGGGCTGAGAATTTCAGATTTGTTTGTGGATGTGGCTGGAATTCAGTGCTCACAGCCTTCTGAAAACACTTCAAAGCAATAGGATTTTTAGACCTTTCTAGGGTTTGAACCATCTGTAGGAAAGGCCTCTGGTCTGGATGACTTTCAGTGTGCTCAGGAAGGACAAGAGATTAAACTGGGGCCTGGTCGTGTTACTCTCCCTCAGCTGCAGGTACAAGGCAGCACAAAGCACCTTTGTGAGCTGCTGCAGCACCTCCAAAACAAGGGGAAAACACACCAAGTCAGTTGCTTGAACTGATGGGAGCATGTCCTCATTTTCCATTTACAAACAGCCATATTTGGAGACTCCCTGGGGATTGTGTGCCAGCTCTATCTCCCACCATGCCATGACATTTAAAAGGTCTCTGTGCCACCCTAAAAAAGAAGAATGACTCCGTTTCCCTGCCCTTTTTTTTTTTTTTAATTCTTTTTGGTTTCTCCTTCGCAGAAGGAAGTGCATGAGGACATTGAAGCTGTACATGAGCAAACGCAGAAATCTGAAAACAAAGCTGCAACAAGCAGGGAATCTGAGGGGTTGAAATCGCAGCTGGAGGAGGAAAGGAGGAAAGTTTCCAGGATTGAAGAGGACCTGGAAGAACACAGAAACAAGCTGCTGATGTTGAAGACTCAGAAGCCCGTTGAAAGAGTGGAAGAAAAGGAGGTGATAGAATATTACAGAGACCCACAGGTGGAGAGTAACCTCTCTAAGTTGGTAAAGCAAATTGAAGAGGAAGGCAAAAAAAGGCAGAGCCTTCAAGAAAACATTGAAATGATGAGCCGTAAACTTGCCCAGGTGGAGAGTGAGAAGAAGGTTGCTCCTGCCCAGCTTCTCACCAAAGAGATCACAAAAATTGAGAAGGATCCAAGCCTGGATGGTGAAGCAGCCAGTCTTCGTCAGGAGATCAAACGTCTCCAGGAGGAAAGCTTGGCTGCTGCTTCCGAACTTGAGCAGCACAAAAGGGAGCTGCACATGCTGGAGCGAAAGCAGCCTAACGTCCGAGAGAAAGTGGTGGTGAAGGAGCTGATCAAACTGGAGAAAAACCCAGAAATGTTGAAATCTGTTAGGACCCTGCAGCTACAAATTGATGAGGAATCCTTCAAGAGGAAGTCAGTGGAAGAGGCGATAGAGAAAGTGAAGAACAAGATTGAGGAGGTAGAAAGACTAATTGAAATGGCAGAACCCAAAATTATTGTTAAGGAGGTGAAGCAGGTAGAGCAGGACCCAGAGTTACTGAAAGAGACTTCCAAGCTTAAAACTCTGATTGAAGAAGAGAGGAGCAAAAACTTGATGCTTACGGGTGAGCTGGGAGAGCTGCAGAGCCAGTACAGCATCGCAGAGAAGCAAAAACCAAGGATAGAGGTGAAAGAGAGGGTCAATGAGATTTTCCTGGTGGATCCTGAAACGGAGCGGCAGATTGCACACCTGAAAAGGGAGCTGCAGGAAGTCACTCTGAAAAGGACAAAGATTGACAGTGAAGTGGAAGAGGCCTTAGCAGAGCTCAATGTCCTCAGGTCACAGAAACCAGTGGTGGAGTTTAAGGAGGTCATAGAGGAGGTGGTGAAACATGAAAAGAGTCCAGAGATTCTTAGAGAGATTGACAGGCTGAAAGAGCAGCTCAATGAGCTGGTGAACACCAATGGCAGGACCCAAGAGCAGCTCATTAGGCTGCAGGGTGAGAGGGATGAATGGAGGAGGGAGAGATCCAAGGTGGAAACCAAGCTGGTCAACAAGGAAGTCATCCGATATGAGAACGATCCACTCTTGGAAAAGGAAGCCGATCGCCTCCGTCAAGAGGTGCGTAACATGTCTCAGAAGAGGAGAGCTGCAGAGGATGCAATCTATGACTTGCAGAACAAATACATGCTCCTGGAGAGGAGGAAACCAGAGGAGAAGGTAGTTGTTCAAGAGGTGATACTGACTCAAAAGGACCCAAAGCTCCGAGATGAGCACACCAGGCTGAGCCGGAGTCTGGATGAGGAGGTGAGCAACAGGCGCCGCCTGGAACGCGACGTGCAGCAGGTTCGTGCGCTGGTGAAGGAGCAAGAGAAGTTACTCAACTTTCAGGAGGATCGAAGCAAGAGGCTTGCACTGGAGAAGGAGATGAGACAAATTACTCTGAGAATAAAGGAGCTGGAGGAGAGCCCGGCCCCGGTGCAAGAGAAGATCATTATGGAAGAAGTGGTGAAGCTGGAGAAGGATCCAGTCCTGGAACAGTCTGCCAGCAACCTGCGCTTGGAGCTGGACCGGGAGAAGATGGAGGTGCTGAGCTTGCAGAGAGAATGCAAGAACCTGCAGGTGCAAGTCGATGTCCTGCAGAAAACAAAATCCCAGGAGAAGACCATCTACAAGGAGGTGATTCGAGTGGAAAAGGACAGAGCGCTGGAGAGCGAACGTGCACGAATCTGGGAGCTGCTGAGCAGGGAGAGAGGAGCCAAGCAAAAGGCAGAAGAGGAGGTACGGCGGCTCAGGGATAAGATCGAGAGAGCTGAAGGCATGAAGAGGACATGGGCTCGTGAAGAGACAGAGCTGCAGAAAGCCAGGAACCTGGCCATCCAGGAGAGAGCCAACTTGGAGAGTGAACTGCGGGACCTGGAGAGGCAGAAGCAGCAGAAAGTCCTTTTCCTTCGGGAGGAGTCCAAACTGCTCAACCAGCGGACTGAGAATGACAGGCAGAAGAAGAAGCAGCGGGAACATGAGTTTTCCCTGCTGGAGGCAGACATCCTTAGGGAGAAGGACCAGATCTACAACAAGGAGAGGTTCATTCGGGATCTCCAGTCAAAGGTCAACCGGGAAGAAATCAATCACGAGACCCAGATGAGAGAGACAAACCTCTCCACCAAGATCTCTATCTTGGACCCTGAGACAGGGAAGGACATGTCCCCTTACGAGGCCTATAAGCGAGGTATCATAGACAGAGGCCAGTACATCCAGCTGCAAGAGCTGGAGTGTGACTGGGAGGAAGTCACTACCCTGGGCCCAAATGGGGAAATCTCACTTCTCCTTGACAAGAAAAGTGGGAAGCAGTATTCCATCGATGATGCGCTAAGGCTGAGGAGGATCACAAAGGAGGAGTACCAGCTGTACCGGGATGGCAAGATTCCCATCTCTGAATTCGCCTTGCTGGTGGCTGGGGAAACCAAGCCTCCCTCGTCCCTCTCGATTGGCTCCATCATCTCCAAATCCCCACTCACATCACCCACCACCCACCAAACCCAAACCTTCTTCCCCCCAGCCTCACAGAAGGGCATAGGTGATGACACATCCCCCATCGCCGGGGTGTATGACACCACCACCGACACCAAGTACAGTGTCAAAACTGCTCTTGCGAAGAAGCTGCTCGATCCCATGACAGCTCAGAAGCTGCTGGAAGCCCAGGCTGCCACGGGGGGCATCATAGACCTCATTTCTCGGGACCGGTTCTCAGTCCATAAGGCGATTGAGAGGGGACTGATTGACAGGACCTACATGCAGAGACTGCTCAATGCCCAGAAAGCTTTCACGGGGATTGAGGACCCGGTGACCAAGCGAAGGCTGTCTGTGGGGGAAGCAGTTCAGAAGGGTTGGATGACCAAGGACAGTGCTTTCCCCTACCTGCAAGTCCAGCATCTAACTGGAGGGCTCATTGATCCCAAGAAAACCGGTCGCATCCCTGTGCTGGAAGCTGTCCAGACCGGGATGATAACAAGCAACCTGGCCAACAGGCTCCAGGATGAGTCCAACTATGAGAAAGATCTCATTGACCCTGTCACTAAGGAGAAGATAAATTACAAGGAGGCCATGGCCCTCTGCCAGAAGGATTCACTGAGCCACCTCCTGCTGCTCCCGGCCGCATCTGAGGGGTATCAGCGGTACCACCAGGCGAGCCGCTCCCCCAGGCTCTCACGGTTCAGGCACTGAATGTACTGGGGCTGGTTCCTTCAGGAGTTCATCCCTTCAAAACAGCTCTCCCCACGGGGGCAGCAGCGATCACAGGAACGGAGCATCGAGCATTTAGGGCTGTACTCTCTTCTCTCTTAGCTACCTGCTTCCCCACACAGCTCAGCTGTGCACGGCAGAAGGCATGACCATGAACCTGACACGGAGGGTCCCCGCAGTCCCCCGGGGGCTGCTGTGACACCGAAGAGGGGCTGATTGTGAGAACTCCACTGTAGGTTAAACGTGGTTATGCTCAGAAAGGGGGGAGAGCCAGAGTGTTTTCTAGCTGGGTCATTCTGCATGCAATAAACATAGCAAGTGTGTCTCTGTGGCTGTGTTGTCTCTGCAGGCTGCGGCTGCCAAGTGGCTGAAGGCACAGCTACTCTTCCCTCCATGCAATCCCAGGCCCTGCAGCCCAATCTACAGGGGGTTTGTAGGCTCTTGCTCCCCGTGATCTCACAGCACTGAACCCCCTAAATGTCTTTCTGCATGTGAGTCCATATTCTTAAAGATTTTGTTGTATTTGTCTTTAAAACTGAAAACCAGTGGGACTTTGCTCCCTGGTCATTTGGACACCTCTGAAAGAGGGACTAGTTCGCCAAAGGGTGCAGTTCCACTGGCAGTATTGGGAAATCTGTACTTGCTATTTCTTTAGGTGAACTAAAAGGATGTTACTCCTCTGTGTAACCTCCACCGCTCAGTCCTTGCTGAAACAAGCAAATCTCATATCCCAAATGTTCTCCCTTATTCTCTACCCCATTGTGGAGCACCCCCTGGCTTTGTTGGATGAGAAAAATTACTTTCTACTGATGTCAGCTGCTCTTCTCCCTCTCCCAAGGGCTCTTTTACATGATGCTGTTCGGTAACTCCAACAAAACCAAATAATCCATAAGGACAGAGGTTTCTGCCCCCTCCTTTCCTCACCAGAGCAGCAGCATAGCCTCTATTTCCATATAGTCTTACTGGAATTTGAAGCATCCATTCCCAGCCTCCTTCCTCTCAGTAGAGCACTGCTGGCACTGCTGCTCTGGACCAGCAGCAAGGGCTGGAGCTGGGCTGTGATGGATCAGGAGAGAAACTCTGGCCTGCCAGGGCAAGTCCAACAGCCCTCAGAGCACAGGAGCATGGCCAGGCAAGGATCATGTCCCAGCACAACCCAGGAGCCCTGGACCAGTGCAGTTCCCAGCAGCCCCCGGGTCCCAGCTCTTCAAAGCTGCTGGGAACAGCCTTACAGTGCCTTGGCTTTGCTCCCCTCAGCTGCCTGAAAGCAGGGAAGATCCATTGGCAACGGGGCTGTTGCCTTTCCTGCAGCTCAGCTCTGCCCAACAGGTGAGTTTGCTGACAGGCTTCCCTTCACTTGGCTCTGTGGGGTGATGAAATTATTTGGGGGAATGCTCTGTAACTACAGGGACTTTGGGGTTCTGGTAATTAGGCGGTCAGTTAATCATTTTGGACAAACTGTTCCCTAACTGTGTAGTGGGAGGTGTTTACCTGGGGCTGGGTGAAGGTGTTAAGAGATGATTAGGTGGCTGAGCAGACTAATCTGAAAAAAACTCACTAAAAATCCTTTTCTTTGCTACCAAGAGCCCCTCATCTGCAGAAAGCAGCTTGTGTCATGTCCCGATGTGTCCGTAGGAAGCACCAGCCAGCCAGAGGGCTTTCCCCAGGGCCTGGCTGTCTGGCAGGGTTGTCAGTTGCTCAGGAAAAGCCAGGTAGGACTTCTCCTCCCTTCCCAAGCACAGGGTGATGAACCGTGGTCTTCCCGGAGCAGTTATTTAAACACAGCTGTTGTTGATTCCCTTTGCTGACAGTAGAGTTGGGTCCCAAACATTTAAAATTCAGCCTGTTGCTTCATTTTGTTGGGCTAGATGTGCTGTAGTGTTTTTATTTATGCTTCTGATCTGGATGAATGTCCTTGGTATTTATTTCTTAATGCAGATCTTTTAAAAACAGAATAAAAATGAAACTCTCCTGCAAACGGTTTGTCAGGTGAGCATTGTTTGCATAGAGTGAACAGTGGAACATTGTATGAAATGAATTGACTTTACAAGGTGTATGCAAAGGCAGGGAAATGATTCCCATAGCAGAATTAATCCATGTCTCCATGGATTCATCCACAAACGTGCCCCTGTTGGCTGTCACCAAACAGAGGCCACAAGATGCTGCAGGAGCACAGATGTCAGGTTGTGCTGAAACCAGTTTTTGGGATCACAGTTATTAGGAGGGCACATGTGTGCACGTGCATGAAAAACAGGAGTGCAGAAGTTTGGCTTCCATGAGTTAAATCTGTCTTTTGAGTATTTAAATAAGCAGAACATAACTATGATCTAGTTTGTGGTGATGGAAAACAAGCCCAGCTTACCCCACTGAGACACTGGGCTGCAGAACCATCAGCCGCTTGCTCCACAACAGAATTGAGAGCACATCTCTTCACCTGCCAAGGATTTGGGCTGGAAAGGATAAAAGAAAGAGTGTAGGAGATGAGGAAGGAAGAGCAGCTCTGTGGAAAAAAGGACCGGCCAGGTTGTCCTGCGTCAGCAGCCCGATGGGCTGTTCCAAATAATAAACACCAAGGTTTCTGAACAAACTACAAGTATATATTTTATTCTATACTGAAAGAAAAAAAATGAAAATTACAAAACCACACCAAGAGTCAGTGACAATTCTCCAAACATTTGAACTGCAAAAACATTTCCAATACAATAAAGCAGAGGAAACAGCATTACATCTGGAAAGATGATGGAAAGTCAGTGGTTTAGCTGTTCCTGTTTCCAGTCATATCCAGCAAGTGCTTTATCCTAACTGGATCTGCTTTATGATAACTGGGTCTTTTGGCTTCTTGGTCCCACCTAACGCACAAATTAAGACTCCTGATAGTGCTCTTCAGCTTGTGGAAGAGCAGGATGTGAGCTCTGTTAAACAGCTCAGACTAAACAACGTGCTGACAAGCCTGGTGTGGTAACAGCAGTAAAGGGCTGAGCTCCTTTTCCCAAAGTGGAGCTCCAGCACGCCCTGGTGCCAGCAACTGCCACTGACAGAGCTAGGGATGCTCCAGTGCTGGAAACAGAACTCACTGTGAGTCACCTTAGCTCACTAATGCAAGGACAAACCTCTGAGAGATGCTCTCTTCTCTACATTTCAGTGTTTTATGCTGATAAATGACCCCCACCCTTTTGCATGTGACCTCTTCAAACCACTCTCTGGCTGCAACACAAACTTTCCCCCAGCAACAGGCTGAGAGTCTCTAAATGCCAAGAATGTCCCCTTCCAGGCTCCTCAGGAGAAGCAAGATCCTGAGTCCTAGCTGGACCCCAAACCAGACCTGCAGTGCTACCTGGAGGTGCAGGAGCTTGGGGAGAGCTGTGTCCTCTCATCTGCATTCTCTCCGCAGTGTGTGTCGCTGTTCAGGGGTCCCGGAGCTCCTGCTGAGGAAGTACTGGTGGTTGAGGGCTGCCTTGGCTGAGATGCGCTTGCTGGGATCATACAGGAGCAATTGCTGCCAGGAGAAAAACCCAGCAGAGTTAGGATTTTAAAAATTAAATGATCACTTGCACCCACACATGGCTGGGCCCACTTGCAGGTGTTGGTCCTGGGCTTCAGGGGTCACCCACAACTCAAATTACTGTGGGGATTATGTTAGAAGAGTTCCTTGACTCCCAGTGCAGTGGTTACTAGAGGAACCTGTGAGACTGTCCTGCTTCAGAGCAGGACTGAGCCCTATTCTGTGATTTGATGCTTCTGTAGTGACAGAGGTGAGCTTTAGGCCCAGATCAGATTTACACTTCCAGGTAAATCAGTCTCAAATATCCCTATTCTTTGCCCAGTTTGAAAAGGTCCTGTCTGTCCCCAGGTCTTATTCTGAGCCCTCACTCACCGTCAGTAAGTCTCTGCCATCTCGATCCAAGTTGGGAACAATGTCCTTCATCTCCTTCTTTGGCCACCGGGGAAAGCTCCCCTTGTAGTCAGGCAGCTGGGTCACGCCAGGCCAGGTCACCTCGGTGGGAGTGCCCAGGGTGCGAAAGATCTGGAAGAGCTGGTCGATCTCAGAGTCCCCTGGAAACAGGGCCTTCCTGGTCATCTGGTGGAGAAGAGAAGGCGGCAGTTCCCACCTTTCCATCAGCTGTGTGCCCTATTTCCTGCTGCAGGCAGCCCTTTGTCCCAGCAGGTGCAAACAACTGCACAGAACAGGGCACTTGCAATGCCAGGCAGTGGTTGGGAAAGTCTCAGGTGTCTGACTGCTTGTCTCCAGCTCCTCTCCATTGACCCATGCTATCCTGGGGCTGTCCCTCTTTCAGCCAGTCCCTTATCGCTCTTTGTCTCCAGTTTCTAACACCCACTCCTGGCTCGCTCCCTCTCGCCTACTCTGCAGCTCAAGGACTTGGGGAATGAGGGATAGTGCTATTATATTGCAGGGATAAACAGAGCTCTTCCAAGGGGAGTACAGGCCCCTAGGAGATCCACTCTGCCATGCTACAACAGTGCTAGTTCTCTGCAGCCCACTGTGGAGACATAGAGTCATCTCCTCCCAGGATCAAAATGCTGCAACAGCAAGACAGAATTTACCCCTTCTGTGAGGAGAGACACCATGTCACCATGTATCTGGAACTGCAGCCTTCTGCCAGGCCCCTGAGGGTGGCAGATTTCCCTCTGAGATAAGGATCAGCTAACCCTCAGGGTGGACTTTCCATAACAGAGTGGGAACACAGTATCACAGATGTTCTGCATCTCATCCCATCTTCCCACTGCAGCTGCCTCCTCCCTGCCCGTTAAAGACACTATTTAAACCCATCCTACCATTTCTGCAAAGATGCAGCCGATGCTCCAGATATCCACAGGGGTTGAGTAGTACCTGCATCCCAGCAGTATCTCAGGGGCTCGGTACCACAGAGTCACCACCTGGAAAGGAACCAACAAACAATCTCTGGAACAAATAAATATACCCTGTACAGAGAAGGTGGGAACCCAGCTTGCAGCCAGGCTAGAGACAGAAGACTTCGTGGGGACATGAGGTAACTTTTTAGGTGCAGGTTAGGATAAGAGCGTGTTCCTGGCTATGGCTGTGCCTCCATTATGGATGAATAACTTGTGGTGATGCTGCTACTGTTCACCCACCGTGGATTGTGTACCCCACTATGGGAGCCTCAACACTACCTCATGAGTGTATGTGCGCAGGGGGACTCCAAAAGCTCTTGCCAGTCCAAAATCAGCCAACTTGATTGCTCCTGCTTCGTTAATGAGCAAGTTCTGCGGCTTCAAGTCCCTGTGGATGACCCTGTGAGAATGGCAGAAGCTCACACCCTGCAGCAACTGGAAAAGGTAGTTCTAAGGAGAGAAGAGATTTCAGATAAGGCCATGATGAAAACACTTTGAATGCTGGATTGTGCGGACCAACAAACTTTGGATTACTTATAGATCTGAATGGGAAAAAAGACCTTGCTACAATGCAACATCAGGCTGGTGGGCTACTACTCAGAGACACACACAGCCTGCTCCCACCCTGCATGGGGTCAGAAGGACTCTAATCCAGGCAATGGATCTAACATCAGTCCCTTCCACTCATCCATTACTCTCTACAAAGGCAAGGAGCAACAGATCCCTCAGTTTGTTCTGCAGCAGAGATGGGCTGGAGAGCCTGGAAACAGCTGGGAAATAAATGTACTGAGCAATAGTGCCACGAGGGTTTCCCAGCTGAAATGTTTGAGATCTGAGGCTGAGGAATCTCTTCCAGGTGCAGTCTGCCCAGCAGAAGGCAGCAGGGATACATGCTCTCTGCCCTGCCTGTTGGCACTCCTTCCACACTGTACCTTGACCAAGCTTAAAGGGAGAGCTCCGGATTGGCACGAGTCCATGTATTTCTTCAGGTCCTGACTCAGATACTCAAACACTATATAGAGCTTCTTCTGGCTGTGTATGACATCTAGGAGCCTGCAGAAGAAGTGCAGATTCTCCCTTCAGTACCTTCTCCTAGAACTTTATGAATACCCAAACATCCCTCATCCCACAGATGCCTCTGCTCTGTGAGCCCTTTGGAGCAGAGGGAGGCAGAGGTGCAGCTAGTATGGAGCAGCAACAGCTTAGACCAGCGTGTGTTGCTGGAGTGAGGTATTGCTGAGAGTCAGGGAAGTGCAAGTGATTCCTGCATTTTCCTGTTTATTTTTCTCCTGTCTGTGCAGTTGGGAAAGGACAGAAAATTCCTCTTGCTGCTTGTACCCAGAGTTCCTGTAGCAGGAACTCATCGATGAGCTGGTGGGGAGGGTTCATCCTACCTGACTATGTTGGGGTGCTTCAGCTCCTTCAGCAGTGAGATTTCTCGGATCGCAGTGCTGGGGACACCCTCTGACTCCCTGTGGCAGAGACACCCTGTAACCCAGGGGGATCCCACAGCCCATTGGGGTCATGTGTCCTTTCCCTCTTCCACTGTACCCCATCACCTGCCCAGGGGAGCGTTTGAGTTTGGGATGGAGCAGTGCTGGGGGTGAGGCAGGGGGCAATGGAGTTGTGGGCAAGGAGATGGAAGAAGTGACCCAGACAGTTCAAGTCCCAGGGCAGAGGTTGTTTGGAAGCACCTGAGAGTGCATTTAGAGAGGCAATAACGGTTTAAATGCCCAGGTCTTGATTTTTGGAGGTGGTGGGAGATGAAAGCTCTATGTCCCTCAGGCAGCCACCTCCCCCATCCTGAGGGGCCACCATGGGGTTGCAGTCCCACCACAATTGCCCCCCAGCCCACAGACACCCCTCACTGTGCAGACAGCCCAGGGCTCATCCAGGGGAAGAGCAATGAGCTTTTACCTGCTCAGTCCCACCTTGGAGGGGCTGAGGCTGACCCCACTGGGAGGCTGAACCTCACCAGACCCCCACACCACAGCCCTGAGGGAGAGACCACCTCCCAAAATGGCAGCTGCTTCCCCCTGCCCCATGCCTTGAGCCCAGGGCCTGGTGTCACTGGGTAAGGCCCTAACCACTCCCACGAGCTGATAGAGACACTTTTCCCCCTCATGTCAGGCTTTTTTGAGCCTCTTGCACCATTTTGGATGCCAGCCTGGCGCCATGGCGGGCCCAGGGCTTTACCCCCGTGGCTTTGCCCCACTCACGCGTCCAAGCGGATCTTCTTGAGGGCCACCAGCTGCCCCGTGCGCTTGTTGCGAGCCTTGTACACCACACCGTAAGTGCCCTCCCCGATCTTCTCCACCTTCTGGAATGACTCCTGGATGGCCTCCATGGGGCTGCCTCCGCTTGGCGATGGCAATGTGGGGTGGCTGGCCGGCGCTGTGCTCTGAGGGGAAAAAACAAGGCGGGAAACAAAAAGGTGAATGTGGGGAAGGGGTTTGGTCTCCCCGGGTGTCCCCTGAGGTGCTGCTGTATCTGAGTCCCTGCTTGCTGCTCCCTCAGCCTTGAGGGACCCCCTCAGGGACCTGCCTGGGGCGACTGTGGGTGGACAGGGCTGCCTGGGCACTCTGGGGGTCTGGGGGTGTCTGAGGGGCTTCTGGCAGACCCAAAGAATCACACCCTGGTTTACCATGGCTGGTTGTTCCACCCGGGTTGTGCAGTGTGCTGGCTAAAGCCAAAAATTGAGGAAAATGGATGTACAGAGGTGCTTTGGGGCCTGGGGAAAGGCAGCAAGAACTGCACAGGGCCAGGGGAAGCTCTCCCACTCCATTTGTAGAGTTTTTGGCATCAAGGGGATAATCAGGCTCGTGATTAATGTTCCCTGGGACACGCTGAGGTCAAAGACCCAGCAGGATGTCTTTTTTATTGTTTTTTTTTTTCCTTTTTATATTTCCTTTTTTTATGTGTGTCTTGCACAATTGTCCCTTTAACCTCCCCACCGTGGGCTGTGCCGCTTGGTCAGCCTTTTGGAAGATGCCCTTGAAGAGGGATTAATCATTGACTTGACAGCTGACGGAAGACATGATTAAAAGAATCTTACGTATTGTGGCACCAGGAAAGGCAAAGCCAAAGGGAATGTTGTCTGGAGGGCTTGGAGGCTTCACATCTCTAGGTGGTCATGGACACGGCAGCTGTGTGAATCCACAGGGAAGACCCCAACTTTTAGGGCTGATTTAGCCCATTGCTGAGCCAGCAGCTCAATTTCTTTTTTTTTTTTTTAATTAATCCTGATTTTGCTAATTTGAAAAAAACAAAGCATTAGTTGCTCTGTGGCAGAAGTGGGATCCACACGGCCATGGCAAACTCTTGTGTGGTTTCTCTGGTGGCTTATGAAGGTTGAGTTTGCACTGAAATCTCCGTCTGAAGTCATTGCCAAATTTGCTCTGTTCTTTACTGGTAGGATTTGTGGGTTGATTTTTTTTATCATAACACTTGTAGAAACCTGGTATTTTGGATGTTCTCAGTCCTGGCATCTTGGATAATCCCAACTCTGGCAAACTTGGACATTTGGATAAAATTTAAGCATGAGGAGGAAGGTAGAACAGATAGGAGATGAGGTGTAAACATAAATGCATCATGACAGACTCGCTGTTGCCTTACACAAAACCAGGTTATAATCTTGCCTCTTGAAATCATGGTTTTGGATTTGGGCTCAACAGAGTGCTCAGTCACAGCTTTTCTATTTTTGTAACTGGGTGAAGAAAAACATAAGGCTAAATTATGATTAAAGATTAATGCAAGTACTGTAATTGCCATCTCAGGCCCTTGAATCAAGCCTGCCTGCAACGGGATCGTGCCAATACCTGTTGTATTTTATCTGCTGCTGTGCACTGGACAGCTTCAGTCCTTATTTTCTGCACATTTCAACAGAAAAACCATTTTATTCTCACTTGACATTAGTGATTTTCTGTCCCTTTGTCAGTGGTTTAATTCTGCTGGGTGGGCCTGGCACCATGTTCTTAAACCAGAGTGGCTCTGATGTAAACTTCATCTTCTTTTCTTGCAACTTTTTCAAAACAAACCAATTCCTTACATACCCAGTACTTAGGAGAAGGAGGAAATATGTGAATTTTCTTACATCATCCACAGGGTTTGTGCAGGGTCTAATGCATTTGACTTGGCAAGAAAGAGGGTTTTAATCAATAAAAGACAGGCTGCCTTCTCTTTTCATCTTTATTTAGGAAAATATCAATCAAAAAAAAATCTCTCAAAAGGGATTTAAGATCTCTTAAACTTAATTGTGTCAAGGAAGAAAGTCAAGTGATGGTTGTCAGGGCACTTCAAATATTTATCTTAGAGGTAAAATCAATCCTCCCCTTGGACACCAGCTACTGAAAGCCTGAAGAGGCAGCTGCTACTGAAAATAGGGACTCTTTGTTCTTCTTGTTTCTTTGTTGGTCAATCCAGGTAAGTGAGTGTTTTGCCAGGAATGTTCCTGTGTGGCAACTGAGTCAGGGCACCCTTTCCTCTTTCCTCCAATCTGCCAACAATGAGCTGCTTAACTCCAGATTCAGTGACTTCTTTTCCCGACTTCTCCAGGCCCTGTATTACAAAAGGACCAGTATAACCCAAGTGTTCCCCTTCCTTAATCACCCTTTCAAAAAACAAACAACAAACCTTCCCTGAGCTATTTTCAGTGATGACACATGGCATGAATGGATAACCCAGTCACAGACTGACTCACAGCCTTCAAGTGCTTCCCTGCTCAGTGACTTTGCTGTTTGCCACAGCAAAACCCATGTAGCAAACCCACATCCTAATTTACTTTTAACATATTTGTTGCAAATGGTAGTGCAAGGACCAGCATATGTCTGGTCTCGGAGCTGTCAAGATGTGCTGCTTTCCCTCTGCTCCTGCCTCTCCTTGAAGTATTTCCTCTGCTCCTGTATGGCTTGTTCCAGCAAGGGCACGTTCATCCCTTCCACGCAGGTCAATATTCGTGCTTTTACCACGGGACTGGAAGTTTCTGTAGAAAGAAAAACAGACAAAGCAGCTTGGAGACAGAGAGTTCCCTGAGGCAGCATATGGCTCCAGCTAGACAAGTAACCACAGCCTAAGTGCCAGGAGACTGGATTGGCCACTGGCCACTGAAGGGAGCAGCAGGCCTGGGAGCAGGTTAACTCAGTGACATGCTTCCCCTCTGCCCTGATGGCTACAAAATGCAGGTGACTGACACTGCAGGTCTCCTTGCACTGGGGAACGGTGCCAGTGCCTGCCATGCAGCATCTGTCTACTTCATGGCTGCATGGAGTTTGGTTTTTCCTGTCTAAAAAGCAGCAGGGACAGGTCTAATCTCATTTCTGAATGCTCCTGTGCAGACAACAGGACAGAACAAAGCTGGGCTTAGAAGAGGCTCAAAGCTGACTATAACCAACAGTTCATTGGTAGCATTCAAATGGTAACATGGAGCTGCACAGAGGGACCAAATCTTCGTGACACAGCCACCATCTCAGCCTGCTCCCCTTCCATCCCTGCAAAAGGGGCCCAACTCGCTCCCAGCCTGTGATGACCAAAATAACATCTTTCTAGAGGAATTTCGTGGCAGTGGTGTAGCAGGTCGCTCTCTAGAGGCCACGTGCAGTGTGGCTTTCCACATTCTGAGGATTTCAGTGGCACAAATGTGAATGCTTGTTACCAGGTGTGGCCAAGACAACAAAGGATTTGCTTCACCATCTCAGCCCAGCTCAGATCAACTCCCCAAGCAAAGCAGCTGGAGCACAGGGCACCCCAGGAAAGGACAACAGGGTGCACTGCATGACAGAGCCTGCCTGAATTCCTCACATGTCTGAGGGCAGGGATGATAATTAGAGCCTTTCAAGGATGGCAAAGACCAACCCAGCGAGCTTGCAATGAGGTATTGCTGCAATCAGCCACATTTGGAACGAAGACGGTCGGTGTGGTGGCTGCTGGTGATGCCAGAAGGCTTTAGCACAGGTCTCACAAGCCCAGCAGTGGTGCTTCTTGTCTCTAACAAAATCTGTGCCAGAGCATCAGATTTTCACCAAGATAAGGGTGGCTCTTCTCATGGTCAACAGGGACAGACAGGCTGCTCCTTGGATCAGCTGGAGGCAGCTGCACGATACGAGCTGCCTTGGCCCACACTGCCCTCAGTGACCCACGAGCAGCAAAAGGCACTGGTTCCTGGAGCATTTACCTTCCCTGTATTCAGCCTCTCCCAGGACGATGTAGAAAGATCCCAGCTGGGCTTGGAACGGCTCCACAAACTTGGTGTCAACACAGACCTGGTACTGAGCTGAGCTGTGCTGAGCAGTGAGAACGGCTTCGGATCGGGCCAGGTCATAGCAGCATAACCTGGGAATGATGGATTGGGGAAGCTCAGTGGTGCAGAAATACAATTACAAACCAAGTGAGGGGAGTGAACCAGTGAAGGAAAGGCACATCTATGGCATCCCCTGGCCCACAAGGAGAGCAGGGTATCCTTCTCACCTGCCAAACGTCCTCAGGGCCTCCCCCTCAGGGACTGAGTTGTTGATCTCCCATGGGAAGTAATAGACACCAGCACTTGGCAGCATCTCACACAACTGCTGGGCCTGCAGGAAAGCAAAACATCTGAGTCCATGTTGTTCCAAGCTATAAGTGACACTGCCCCAAAACCCCTTCTTTGCCCAGGTACCACCATCCAGGGGGCTGCAGGAGCTTCATAGCTTCCCTGATGAGTCCTGTTTGCAGCTCAGTGTCAAGCCCGGGGCATTCCGGCATAAACAGGCACTGTCTACTCCACCATAACCCAGCATGAACAACAGGCAGCCCACCAGATCCTCCAGGTCTGGTCCAGAATATGGATAGGTTAAGAAAGGTTAAGAAGTGGGAAAAATGATGATTGAGAAATTCAGAGAGTGGGAGGGTCTGAGATGCAGGAGTAGCCTCAGCTGCTGGGGTGATGGGTTACTATGCAGCAAGATTTAAGGAATTATCTTGAACTTGTTCTCTTACTGCAGAATAAGAAATTCTGGCAGTGTCTGATCCTGTAGCTGGAGAACAATTACTTGGACACAAGCCAGCCTGGTTTCATCAGCAGTCTAGTAGGGTTTAGGAGACAGCGATGAGTGAAAAGGATTCATTCTAAAGCATTGCTCACGGGGCTTGCAAAATGCCCCACAGAGGACTCCGTGGGAGGCTGCTGAAACCAGGGCAATCCTGGCTCACCCCGTCTCTGCACATGCCTCACGCTGTCTGGCTGCCCCGTGCAAGGCTGGGAACACACACGGCGGGCGGCAAAATCCCCCAGGCACGGTCTCGACCTGGCCACGGAGGTGCAGACCCACCTCCCTGCACTCCGCAGCTCCCTCCATCCCCGCCTCGCCTAAAATTGAACAAGCAGGGCCAATTCTGCACCTCCAGAAGGGCAAAGGCTGTTCTGCACGGCGTGGGTTTTGCTCCCGAATGGCGCTGCGCGGGCGGGTGGGATTAGCCAGGTGTGCAAGGTGCTCGGTGTGCGTTTTTCGGGTACAGAATCGTTTATGTTGCAGAAGCCGCACCCCGACCGCCACACCCCCTGTGCCCGCCCAATGCGCTATTTAATGCCCGCGCCAGCTCCACCGCAGCACGCTGCAGGCACATTATCGCAGCACTTTATATGCGCATCCAGAGCACTGCCCAACCCCGCGTTTAACGCGTGGCCGAACGCGCCCCGCCAAAGGCATTTAACGAGCCGTTTATTTAATTAACTATCCAGCGCCGATGCAGCAGGCGATGTGCGCGTTCCCCACGCACACCACACCGCATCCCAGCCCCGGCTGCGGCCCGTTTGAGCGCTAAGGCGCCGCTCCAAGCTCGGTCTAACGCGCCGCTCACCGCTCCAGCACCGCATCCCGTGGGAACGGCGCCCACGTGGTCGGGACCCACGTGTCGTCGCGGGAGTGACGTCGCGCGGGGGCGTCGCCGGCGGAGCGGGGCCGGAATCGGGGCCGGGTTTGGGATCGGGACTGGGATCGGGACCGGGACAGAGCGGAACCGCCGCCGCGATGACGATGAACGCGGACCTGCGGAGGGAACGCGCCGCCGCCACCTTCCAGCCCCTGCTGCTCACGCACATCCTGGACGGCGGCCCCGAGCGCACCCGCCGCCGCAAGGAGATCGGTGAGGGAGGGCCCGGCGGGGACCGGGCTGGGGAGGGCGAGGAGGGGCAGAGACAGCCCTGGTGAGGGCTTGGGGAAGGAGGTTTTAGGAGAAAGAGACGCGGCGGTGGGAAGGGGAGAGGCTGTGGAGTGAGGGACACCCAAGAGGGGACCCCCAGGGCGAGGGAGACCGGGATATGGGGACGGGGAAACGGGGTGGGGACCCTCGGGGAAGGTGAGGAGGGACGAGGTTGTGAGGAGGGGGACACATGGGGGGAAGGATGTGTGGAGGAGCTTTTGGGGAGAGGGGGGACTCCAAGGAGAGGGGAGAGCTGTAAAGAGAGGATTTGCAGACAGATGGTCACAACCTAAAGGAAGTTTAGGGCTAGGCAGGAGAGGAGCTCTCTAATGGGTTAGACAGGAACAGGAGCTGCGTTACGTCCCTGGTCTCCCTCTCGTCCCCTTTCCAGGAAGGCTCTGGGCTGACCCTGATAGAGCAATGTCCTTTTACTTCTGTTTCCCCTTCCTCTGGAGAGTAAGAGGCAGCTTCTCACGGTTATTTCACTCGGGCCCTCTCCTCTCCTGTTTCCTTCCTGCCACGCACTTGCCCAACAGTACAAATGTCACCTGTTTGTCACCTGCCACCACTGTGGTATGAGAGATTAATGAACTGCTTCCATTTTCTTCCCTGGGGTGGGATTGTCAGGGGCTGCTGTTGTGTAACTTCTGTGCCAAAGAGGGGGCCACAGGGGGTCTGTGGCCTCAGGGTACCTTGTTTTCCGGTTGGCACAGTGGGAATAGCTGCTCTGCCCTTCTGCAGGGAGGGAGTTACGAAGGGATCAGAGTTCAGGAGGCTGAGGGACAGCAGCCTGAGCCTCTGAGGCTGTTGCTGGGGGACCTGCAGGTCTTACGTCAGTGAGTTGCCCTCCTGCCAAGTCCAGAGTGCTCTGAACTAAGCATGGGGTTTATGTGTAAAATGAGAGTGCCAGGAGTTGCTCTCTAAAAGGGCTTTGACTTTTTTTCTGATTTCATTAACTTCCAATTTTATTTTTAATTTTCTGGTACCTGTGCCTTGAGGTACAGCAGGTAAAAAGCTGGGTCATTTCTCACCCACTGTTTGTTGAGGTTTGTGGAAACTGAGCTTGTTTTCCTCTTCTGTTCTGTCCCCAGAGGCCTTAGTTCTTAATGACCCTGACTTCCAGCATGAGGATTTGAACTTCCTGTCCCGTAGCCAACGCTATGAGCAAGCCATCAGGAAGAGCTCCTTGATGGTGATGAAGTTAAGGGAATATGGAATTGCAGATCCTGAAGAGATCTTCTGGTTTAAAAGGTACCTACATCCAGCATTTGCTTTTTGTATGTACTGTGATCATCACCAAGGACATTAGAGTTGTGCTTTTTCCCTGTGTTTGCTGTCCAGGGGAAGCTCAAAACCTGTGCAAAAGTCCACTGAAGTCTTGGCTTTAGTGAATTTCAGATGAGACCTTGATTTCATGAATATTATGTTTTCTTAGGTTATTGACTAGAGAAGCACCATTAACAATTACACCCTGCTTCTTATATGTGGTGCAGAAAGTAAAAAATGGGACTTGTAGCTTGATTTGTTTTTTTCCACGAAAGAAGTAAAAAAATACACTAAAATATTTTCAGCCTGAATAGATCTGATGAGTTTGCAGCTTCTAATGAAATATCTTAAATCCGATTACTTCACTTTGCACTTAGACCTAATAAAGTAACATTGCAGGCATACTTGAAAATGTTCCAAGATGGCTTAGAAGTTCTTGTTTATCACTGCCTGTCCTATCTCCCACCTCCACGCTCCTGGTGCTACAGTGGTTCCCTTTGACCCAGAGGCTTTTTGTTCTATCTGACCTTTGGTTTATCTGATACGACCCTTGGATTAAGTTAATAAAAATAAGACTGTCTTTACATCTGAGTTTTCATCCCTTCCAGGAGGAATCAGAACTTAGTTCCTGATTTTGATGTATTTTTCCCCTTAGTTCTGTTAAACTCATTCTGATTTAGTCAAACAGAGGCTGTTAACAGATTACACAAACCTAGAAATCTATGGTAACACCGTGGATATATCCTCTGGCACAGTATTTAATGAATCACAAGCCCCCTCTGACTGGTTTTGTAGCAAATCTGGCATGAGCCTTAGGGCATGAATATTGGGAGCAGGTAGTTGAAATCACTGTGGTTTTAATTTCCAAGAAACTGGTCCACACTGACCTGTGTCATGAAAGTTCTCGTGGAAGTAAAGTAAATGTTTTTACTCTCACTGTCCACCAATGCCAACTTTAAAAAGAACAAGTTCAGTGACAGTATTGGATTATTCCAGTGCTGCATAGTAAAAGTTAATGATTAATTTTTTTTCCTCCACAAGGATTATTGGAAGTGACAGGGAAGTTTCTTCATTTATTTGTATGGAGAAAATTCAGAGAACTCTATCCAATCTACCAGCTGGCAAATTTCAATGGAGTTTGCAATGTAAATGCTGTCTTTGGTAGCATTACTGACAATATCATATGAAAACAGACTTTTCAGAAGTAGCCAAGTGAGAGATTCTAGTTTTGTATTTCCATAAATTTGTGTGGGAGTCAGCAATTCTTAACTTTAAATGGATGAAAGTGTAACATTTCATATAGACACCAAATAATACCTCTATATTTTATGTGATAGGAATAGTCAGGTGTAATGAGTCAGAATTCATGATCCAAAATCGACTGAAACAATGAGGAAGACTTTTTTCAGAGTCAATTCTAATTGCAGGCATATAAATGCAATTACTTCAGACTGACTGCTTTTACCATTTTTTAACCATATTTATTCTACATAAACATGTAGAATAACATACAATGACATGTAACAGAATGAAGAGCAGTACATGAACTTCTTGCCTACAAGTGCAGTGTGCTTGCTCTGAGAACTATACACTTACTATTCCTGATTTGACTTCTTTACTGTAGTGTCTGGTGTTGGCAAGGGAGGATGTGGGCTTACTGCTGCTTAATAAATGGAAGAAATGAAAGGATTATTTTTTCATCCTTTGATTTCATTTGCATTTTAACATTTGTCTCCACTTTCTCACCTGCTGAGTGTCAAATATTTTTTAAACTCAGTGAACTCCACCCAGCTGGCAAAATGAAGTTTATTTCTATCACGTATCCAAACATGCTAATTGGTGCTAACTAGAAGAAACCCCATGCGTGCAAAAGCTGACCTGGAGGAACTGTATTTGTGTTCATGCATTTTTCCAAATTGGAAAATTGAGTGGATATGGTGTTGCAACATGCCTTGAATGAAGTTTATGAAAGAGATTGAAGTCCTTGATTCAGATGTCAAGTTGTATTTATTGTGATGGACCATCAGAGTTTTACATATGGAAGCCTAAGAAATTCTTTCAGTCATCCCCAAACAGCAGGGACAGATTTACATATGCAATTTTTGGAGAATTTTGAGCCAGTAGTTTTCCTGTAGCTTTCCTATATTCCCTGAACAGCACTAAGGAGCTTGGCACATGACTCACTGACTTTATAGCTTGATTTATGAATAGGTGAGGAGAAATGCTGCTTCCTTCAGCTGCCCTGAAGATACACATAAACAGTTGTTGCTGCTGTGACATGCCCAAGTGAATGAATGCTCCTCCTCTGTTTCCAAAGAGCTTTGTTGGACTCCAAACCGTAAGAGGATCTATTAAATATATCTAGAATCCATTTTAGTTGCTTCTCATATAGTCAGTTCTTCTGTGGCCACACTGCAGTTGCTGCTGTGATACAGCTTTGAAGGCCAGTGCCAATATTTCAGATTTCTTTGACAGCCCTAACTACAGCAAAACGTAAGTCAGCATGAGAAGTGGGAAGTGGTTCTGATGTGTGATGCTACAGAGCTCTTGGAAGAGAGCAATCTGGCCAGTTTTAATTCACCTTCAAGTTTAATTAACCTTCAGTGAGGAAAATGGGATTAAATGAAGAAGTGAAAAACAGTTGGGAGAAACTGGGTCACTGAAGAGGAGAAGATCCAAGAGCTGCTGGTCACCAAGCGATCCCTGTGTTCATGGGCATCGTGTGAACGTGCACTTTCCCTGTGGGAATTTGTCCTTACGTCTCCTTTTGACACTAAATTAGAACCTGGTGTAGCTTTGAGGAATCAAATCAGAAAAACTGTACTAAAGGCCCTACTGGCCACTGCTAAATTAATTTGAAGGGGATGAGTCTGACTTGCTTTTTTTGATACAGCTGGAATAGGAGTTTATTCCCATAGGATTTGTCAGCTCTGAGGCCCAGTAAGCACAGTGCAGACATAGCTCCTGCTCCTCCTCCACTGGGATGACCCTTCGTGCTCTTCCTTGAGAGAGTTACTTCAAGGACTCCTGCAAAAAGCAGAAAAGTTTGCATGCAGACTTTGCTTTAACCCTGTTCTGTCACCCAGCTCTGCAGCCTGAGAGTGGCTTTGCAGTTGTTCATGTAGCTTTGGAGCCTCTGAAGAGGCAGACTCTACTTCTGTCATGCTCTGTGCACTGGGAGACAATGACTTACCTGTCATACAGGTGCCTTCTGCTGTGTGGGAGGCACTGGTTGCTGTGAAATGTGGAAAGATCTGTATTGCCAAAGCATGGGTTACTACACATCCATCTCCCGTCAGTGGATTTGGAGCTGCAGCCTCCTCATGACACTGGTTGTCGCAGCAAATCTGACCTCAGGCCACCAAGGTGATCGTTGGTCATTGAACAAATGGCCAGTGCCACGGTCACTCTTGATGACTGCACACACTGCAGCCTCTGGGGAACAAAGGCAGTGGGAATGTAGAAATTCTGATGGGAAGCAGTAAGAGTTCACAGAAAGGAAAAGAAGAGAAGAAAGCCTTTTGTTCCTCCCTTCACAGCTGTTCCTCCTCTTCTGGAGGAAAACAGGTTTCTGCCTTCTTGTGATTCAGGTTGTTAAAAGGCATGTTAAGGAAATCCTAAATATTCAGTGTGGAGAA